TTATTTAAATATTCTTTTAATATATTACTAACATATTATATATAATTAATTTTTTTTTATTCTAAATTTAATTTATAATATTAGTATTTTTTTTTTTTTTTTCTTAATAATTTTTAGATTATTTTTAGTTTTAATATATATTTTTTTTATTTTCTTTTTCTTTCTTCCAATTTTTAATAAATTTACTAATAATATCAATAAATAAGTTTGAAATTTTCTCTTTTTTATAATTTTTTTTATTTTAGATTTTAAAAATATTTATTTAATAATAAATAATATAATATGAATAAATTATTTTTTTTTATATAATTTAATAATTGAAATTATTTTTCTTTTACCAGATTTTATTTAATATTAAGCTTATAAAAAATCTTTGTTATGGATTGTATTTTAATTTAATATTTATATAGATTATTTATTTTTATTATTTATCAATTTTAGATAATTTAAATATTATTATTATTTTTTTATACTAATCTTTGTTTTATAGTTATTACTTTTTGCTTAATTATTCACTTCTTTTTATTCAATATAATTTATTTTTATTTATTAAATTATTTTCAAATTTCCTAACATTTCACTTGTTTATAACTTTTTCTTTGGTATTTTTACTAATTTTTACTTGTTTATTTTATATTTTTTTATTCTTTTTAAACTTTCTACTTTTTTGTTTGATATTGAAGATAAACATTGATATTGAAATTGTGTTTTGAATTCTTCTTTATATAGGTATAGATTAGAATATTTTCTTATTATTTCAAATTTAAAATGTTTTAATTATAAATCACTTATTAATAATTTTAAAATTATTTTTTTATAATAACATTCATTTAAGTTAATTAATATATATATCTTTTTTTTATTATAATTTTACCTTAAAAATCAAATATTTTAATAAAAAAAGCAAAGATGATCAATACCAAAAAAACAAAATTATATTAAAAACTTAAAAAAACACAAGTATAATTATAATTTAAAAAATAAAAATAAAAAATTTAGTTGAAGAAACTTCTACCTGCATAAAATATTTAATATTAATATTTACAGCAAGTATAGGCATAGGAGGATTTTATAATATGGGTTTTCAATCATATATAAAAAAGCAACTTACATAATAAATGAATATGTCATCATAATAATATTTATATTTAGTTTTAATAACTCCTCTTCCAAACATAATATTATCATTATTATCTCCATTTTTAATTGAAAGAATAGGAATAAAGAAATCATTATTATATTTATGTTTATTAATGGTAATAGGATAATCATTATGTTTAGTATCAGTATATATTAAATACTACAATTTATTACTAATAGGCAAGTCAATATTTATGATTGGATAAGAAATCGTATATGTCCCGTAAACATATATATTTTCAAAATGGTTTAAACAAAAAGGATTAACATTTGCATTTTCTACTGGTATTTTCGCTAATAAGATTGGAAATGCCTTTTCTGGAATTTTATATCCCTATTTATTTGATGTAAATCAAAGTTTGGTTCTTCCTTTTTTTGTAGGATGCTTAATTTGTGTATTTTCTTTTTTTGTGCTCTTTTGGTGGCTTTTCTTGATAAAACCTCTGATTTTTAGTAAGAAAATAATAAAAACAAAAGCTTATAAGAAACATTTGATAGCTTTAAATTCAAAAGCTATATTTTCTGGGTTTATAGTATTTAATCTTTATTAATCATTGGAGGATTTTTCTCTTTCAATAATTTCTTATAAACTATTCTTATTAAAAAGTTTAATTTCCATTAAACTACAGCAGGATAGATAATTTCTATACCTTTTTGGATTTCTTTTATTTAACCTGTATTCGGATTAGTAACTGATTATATTGGTAAAAGAGTTTTTGGTTTGATTTTCGCAGGTTTATTAGGACTTTCTACAATGCTTGTGCTTTATTTTGGATAAGAAAGTTTGTTTTTGGTTGTTTTAGCTTTAATTATCTTTGGATTATATTTAACAACTGCTACTACTTATTTATATCCTACAATTCCTTTATTATGTAATCATTATAATCATAATTCTGCTATAGCAATTAATTCATGTTTTAGAAATATTGGATTTTCCATGCTGTCTTTTGTAGGAGGTATTATAATTGATTGGAAAGGAATATAAGATTTTTTAATATTGTATATTATAATTTAATCATGTGCCTTATTTTTTTGCTTTTTGATTTATTTACTTGATTTTTAAAAAGGAGGAAAGATAAACTCTAAAAATCCTTAAACTTTTGGAAAATATTATAATGATGATAAACTTATTGAGTCTATAGATAATTGAGCATTTTTTTAATTGTTAATAATATATAAATAATTTAATAAAAATTGTTTGTTTTTATAAAATAATTAGTTCAAATATTTTAATATTTTTAAAGAAAAGATTTTATATAGTTAATAGTTTAGTATTTTATAAATTCGTATATTTTATTATAGTGTTTTTATATATATTTAATATAGATTTAATTTTTAAATAAAAAGATTTAAATTTTTTTTTCATTTATATGTATTATATAAGATAATTAAAATCTATGAATAGATGATTTAATAAAATGTAAATTTAATTTAATAAATAAAAAAAAAAAATTAAATATAAAATGTAAAAAATTCATAAATCCAATTTTATTATGATTATATATAAAAAATAAACTAGAAAGGAAATTATAATAAAGGAATATCATAATATTTTAAAAAAATGCTTATAAATAAAAAATATGACAATATATTAGGTGATTATTTATAAAATGAAATTAAATAAATATATAAATCATAAAAAGAAGAAATTAAAATTAATAAAATTATTAATTTTTTAGAAAATAATAGTAAAAATTAAGATATATTAAATTAAATTATATTCGATTTTTAAAAAAAATTGAATAACCATCTAAAAGTACAATATTTGCAATAAGATGTGCATATTAGTAATCAGGTTAACCAAAAATATTATACTTGTAAAAATTATTAAAGAATAAATCATTAAAAACATAAAGAACTGTTATTAAAGATAATTTAGTATATAATCTACCAATAGATAAAAATTAAAATAATAATTAATAAAAACTCTTTAGAATATAGTTAATTTTACAAAGATTTATTTAAGCCATGCTTTAATGATTTTATAGATATTAATAGAAAATTATTTTTTGAAAAACATGAAAATAAAAATAATTAATTAAAAATAAAAATAATATTTTATTTATTAAATAATATATTAATTTAATTAATTAATTATTTATTTATTATTTTATTTATTTAATTTTATTTTATATTTATTATTTTTATATATTATTATTTTTTTTTTATTTAAAATTTATTAATAAAAATTAATTATTATTTAATTTTATATTTATAATATATAATTTAATATATATCTTTTTTAACTTTATTTATAAAATAAAATATTTACACAAAAAATAAAATATATAAATTTTTTTATTTAAGATATTTTAAATAAAAATAAAAATGTTATAAGTTAGTGTATGTTTTTTTTGTAAAATAGAAAACGATTAAGTAAACTATTATTCTAATCCTTGTAAAAATTGTGTACTAACTTCTAAAAAAGTATTTGTATGTATACCTTGTATGAAATAATTTAGATAGTAAAACTTTTAATGTCTTATTTGTTATAAAGAATAGCCTTAAAAAGTAGATGAATTATACAAATTATTTAACTAATATAAATTAGGATTTGATTTTTAAGCAGGTGTAATATTTTATAGTGTTTTATAAAACAATTCTTCAGAAATACCTGAGTTAGCTGATTTCCTACCAATGATATGCTTTGATTTGGAAGTTTAAAAAGAATCAAAATAATAATAAAGCAAAAATTCATACTTTAATATTTAAAATAAAATATAAAGAATAGAAATGGTTAAGCATTCAGAAAATGCTAATTAAGAAAAAACACATTAACAAATTGTAAAAATTTTAATTATTTTATAATATAAATATTAAAATAAAACAGTTGTTTGATTATGCTTGGGGAGAAATTAGTTAAATAAGAGGTTAAAGTACTGTAAACATAAGTAATTCCCAGACTTTATTAACTGGAGGTTTTTATAGAGATTTAGATTATTTATAAGGGGAAGAATACAATCTAAGAATAATAAAGCAAGGAGTAAATTAATTATCCACAAATAAAATTAATTACGAATAATATGATGAATTGGTAGAAGAAATTCGTTAAAATTATGAGGCTGATTTATAAAAAAAATACAATAATCCGGAATTCAGCCTTCCATATTTTTATCCATTCACTAACTAATGTTTTATAATATAATTATTTAAAGAAAGAAAAGTATAAGCTTTATGGGCATAATACTTTAAATTTCCACGTGCATATCATTCTTCAGTAGTTTGTAAAGACAAAATATTTATTTTAGGAGGAGTTTGTAATGGAACATTTTATTCAAGTGTAGAAATGGCAGAAATAAAAAGAGACAAAGAAGGAAACGTCGTTTAAATTTCAGAATTTTAAGATATGTAACCAATGTAATTTGCTAGAGCACATTTTTCTACTGTTTATTAGTCTAATTAAAATGCTATTTATGTTGCTGGTGGGTACTTTTGGTTTGGATAGTATTTAACTAAATTCAAAATTGAAAAATACTTAATTGATAGTAATATATGGTAGGATATTACTATTAATTACGGAAATATAAAAGAAACATAGCTTAATAAATTTTAAGGAGTTACTATAGCATCTTGGGAAAATGATTTAATAATTTTTGGAGGAATTCAAAGTATATATTAAAATAATATTATATTTAGATAAATATTTTTTGTTATTTTTATTAAAAAAAAGAAAAGAACGATTTATTGTTTGAATTTAAAAATAAAGATAAAAAAAAAGAAGGAGATCTTGGAAATTCTTATGCCTTTTTACTAAATTAAAATAAATTACATGATAATGTTTTGGATTTGAGTATTATTTATGAAGAAATAATTGAATGTAATCTTCCAAAATATATGTTTACTAATTTAACTAATTAAGAAGATAATAGTTAGTTTGGCAAAAAAAAAGGTTAGTAATATAGATATTTATTTATAAGCTCTTTCATTTAAACTGAATTGGTATTTTAAGTAATTAGAATTAAAAAAAATGGACATAAAATAGAATTCAAAGATAGATTAAAATCTAGAGTTAATGTACCAGTAATATAAAGTGAAGAAATTCTAGAAAGCTTTGATGGATTATCAATAAGTATGTTTTCTTGAGAAATAAAAAAAAATATTTATAAAAATAAATAAATATATATATATATATATATAAATATTTTAATTTTAATTATTAATTATATAATTTTTAAATTTATTTTATATATTTAAGATAATAATAAATTAAAAATTAATATAATAAATTTATAAAAAACTATATTTAATTTTTAACATTATATAGAAAAAAAAAATATATAAAATTAATACTATAAAAAAAAAAAATTTAATAATTATATAAATTAAAAAATAAATATTAATATATATATAAATTTATATTTATATTTATATTTATATTTATATTTATATTTATATTTATATTTATTTTTAACTTTACGCATTATTATATATTGCATGTTTTTTTAATTTTTTTTTTTTATATAATATGATAAAATATATTTATTTTTTTCATATTACTATAAAATAACTGAAATAATTTTTCTATTTAATTTCTATTTCTTTCAAGATATATCTGATTCACTCCTTTTTTTTTTTGTATTACATTTTATTAATTATATTGATATATTTAATTAATTTTTTATTTTTTAAATATTTTTAAAATATAAAAGGAAAAAATAAATAAAGAAAAATCATAGATAAAAATTTCATAAAAAAAATTAAACAAATCTTATCTTAAATTATGTATAACCAACCATTTTAAAATATTAGCCAATAATATTAAAATAATTTCTTATAATAACCTAATTAATTAATTTAAAATAATTTTTAACATAATTTATTTTTCTAAATGGCTGTAAACAATTAATTCGAAAATAATATTGAAAAATGCAGAAAACAAATAATAAAAGGTTATCTTCATATAAAAAATAGTTAAAATATTTATTCTGATTCTAATACTGATTAGGTTTCAAAAGATAATTTTTAAATCAATAATTAAATTTTTAGAGCTGCAAGTAATGACAAAATGAATATTATAAATAATATGTAAAAAAATTAAAATATTAGTCTAATATAGAAGCCAGTATATAAAGAAAGTTAAAGTATAGAAATAATATAATAATATTAGTTATTATAGAGTTAAATAAATTAATATATTCCAATTAAAGAGAATTAAAGATAATAATTATTAAATAATAAAATAAACTATTAATAATAACAATAAAAGTTATAATAATAATAATTATCAAAATAGGTATCAATATAAAATATTGGTAATTCAATTATCATGGAATAAAAATATTTAAATGAATTAAATTCATAAATTAGTCAACTTAAATAATAATAATAATATTTACAAAATTAACCTTAATAAAATTAATAAAAACTTCTCAAAATTTAATAAATAATCAATTTATTATAAGACTAATATTAAAAAGGCATTATCAAACTATGCTAAAAATAAGAACTTGAAAAAATTCAACTTAAAATACAAAACCAATAATAATTTAGCAACGATGTTTTTTCTTTAAATAATCAAAAAAATCAATTTATTAGAAATAATGTTTAGAAAGCTTTCTAAAAATAACCTTCAGCTTCTTTTAATATTAATTCTTAATAGAATATAGTTGAAAATGAAATAATACAATAATAAGAAAGAACTCAAAAAAATTTTAAAATACAAAGTCCTGAAGAATAATAACCAGGGCAAACAAATTTAAAAAGTTTAAAAGTTTAAGAACAAAAATAAACAATAATACCCTAACTATCTATTAAAGAAGAATTTTCTTTTGACTAATGCTTTAATTAAGATTTTTTTTAAAACTAATAATAATAATAAACAAACTAAGCGCAATAGATATCAATAAATCTAAACTAAATCATTAAAAAACCTAATTTTAAACATGAAAATGAACAAAAAAACAACATAAGAGTAATAGAAGAAGAATATTAATAAGAAATAAGCAACAAATAAATCGAAGAAAATGATAAAAATAAATTATAACAATTTTAAACAGAAGAAGAAGAAATAAACAATAAAAAAACGAAGAATTTTTAGAATCCTTAACGAAACCCCAAATAACCATAATAGATAAATCTATAAAACCTAAATTAGAAAAATTAGAAGAATAAGTAGAAAGAATATTCGATAAGTTAAAATTTGCATGCTCAAAGATAAAGCCTATTGCTTTTTAACTATGTAAGAAAATAATTTGCGAAAAAAGTAATAATCAACTTTTAAAATCTAAGCCTTATTAATTCATTGCTGCCGCTTTAATTATTCATGCTTCTAGATTAGTTGCAAATCCTATCACAGTTAAAAATGTTGCTAAAGAAACTTAAATTAAAGAAAAATAAATCAGCAAGGTTTTTTTATATCTTAAGTAAAATATTGAAGGCTTTAATAATAAAATGCCTAATCCTGAAGTTTTCATTAAAGTTATTTGCTAAAAAATGGATCTTGAGCCCAAAATATATGATACAGCTATATATCTTAATCAAAAAGCTATAGAAAAGAATATAATTAATGGATAACATGCTGCAACTATAGCAGCAAGTATTGTTAAATTGGCTGCTTCTTTATATGATGTGGAATTACCTGTTAAATAAATTTGTGAAACTTCTAATGTATGCTAAATTTCTTTAAGATCACTTTATAGATAAATATATCCTTAAAGATTTAAACTTATAGAAGAAAATAATAAATTATGTAATGATATTAATAAAATTAAAAAAAACAATATTTAGTAATGATTTAATTTATTTTATATATTATTACTTAATTGATATATATATCAATATATATTTATATACATTAAAATACAAATTTTATTTAAATATGTTTTTGATTCTATTTTATTTTTTTTGTTTTACAGCTATTAATTATATAAATATTTTATGATTTTTTAAATTCTACTTGAAAATTTATCAAGATTATTAATTTGTTTTATATATTTATTGATTTTCTTAATTTTTCATATATCATTTTTTTTAATAAAGAATTTCATAACATAATTTTAATTTTTTTATTTATTTATTTAATATAATATTTTTAAATATGTGATAGTAAATGATAATGATATTATTTTAATTAAATTTTCAATATAATATTTAATTTTTTTGTTTATGTATTATTCTTAAAATCTCAATTTAAAAAAAAAAAGGGAAAACAATAAATTAATAGCAATTGACAATATTTTTTAATTAAGTTTTTAAAAAGAATGAGTAAAAATAAAAATAAGTATATTAATATTATTACTTATATTTATTCTATAAAAAAAAAAATTTCATATATAAAAATAAATATATAAGATGTCATAAAAAAATATATGTTTTCATCTTGAAGCTTATAGTATTTTGAGTAATTCCAAAAATATCATAATTATATCGATATATAACATCATAGCTCCAACGACATAATCATCAACCGAAAGTTCATATTTTTTTCCACCAGCAATAAGTTAAGTGTCATAAATTAAATAAATCGAATATAATATAACACTCAAAGCACAATAAATAATATAAATAGTTTTTTGATGACTAAATGTAGCGAAAAATCCGAAAATAATCAACACAATAAAAAAGCAAAATATAAATCCACCCATCATTGTGAAGTCAGTTTTTGTATAAAATGCATAAGCAGTTAAAGCTAAACTTACTCCTAAAGTCATTACAGCGGCAATAAGTACAAGATTTTATCCATTATTTTAGCTTCCTAAAATAGAACATGTACAACTAACCATATATGACATAGCAAGGGTGAACAAAATTAAACAAATATAATTTTAAGGAACTTATCTTGCAACTTTTTTATAACAAAAAATTGCATACTCAGTAATTATCATGATTCCCATACACATATAAAATAACCACATATTATTTTATTAAAATTTTAAAAAGGCTTTACTCTTTATTGTTAATATAGTCATTAGTACTGTTAATAATAACTAAGAAAACATTATTAAATATACTTTACGTATAAATCCCATCCTACTATTTCCTAATAATCCTTAAGTCAATTTATCATCATATTAATTTTCAAGATCGTATTCTTACTGAGGATTTGATACGTAATTATTGTATTGATTATTTTGCTAATTATTATATATAATTTGTTATTATTGTTAATTTTAAGGTTAAGGAGGATATTAATAATTTTAAGGTTAAGGAGGATATTAATAATTTTAATTTTTATAATCTGCCATTTGATTTTTTTATTTATTAATTATTATTTTAATTTATATAATTAATATTACTATTAATTTTCTATTATTAATTTATGAATAAATAAATATATTTAATTACTTAATTCTTTTTTACTCTTTGTTTTTTTTTGTTTTTTTTGTATCTTTTCAAATAATTTTATTATATATCTGATCAGATATTCATAAATATAGTTTAAATTTAATTAAATGAAGAAAATTAATTTTAAATTAAATAAAATTATAAATAATTTTATCTAATTATATAAATATTTATAATAATTTATAAATTAAAAATAATAAATTATAATTAAAAATAAAATTTTCAAACAGAAACATAATAAATAAAAAAAAAAAAATATTTTGATTTAATATAATTAATAATTATACATCAATATTTATTATCTCAAAGGAATAATTTAACCAAAATATTATTTATATCTTAAACTAAAATTTTCTTCAAGAGTTTTAAAATCCAAAAGTCGCAAAAATATCATTATCATTTTCTTATTATACTTCATTAGAACTTTGCTTAGAGAAATTCCAAATATCTTCATTTTCACATTATTATTAATCATTATTATCTATTTAACTATTATTTTAATCTATTAATAATAATATTTTTTAACATAAATACTTATACTTATATTATAAAAAAAAAATACTATTAAAGAACGATTCAATATCATAATTAAAATCTTAATTATTATTTTAATGATTTTCATTATTACCAATTTCTTCTTTAATATCGTCAATATTTTTGCTTTCAGTACTTTATTCTAGTATCTTATGTTAGCCTATATCCGTATTATTATTTTTATTAGTTTTTTCTAAATATTCAGACTTAAATTTATCCCAAATTTAATCTTAAAAAAAAATATAAAAAAAAAAAAAAAATGAAAAAAATGAAAAAACTTTAATCCAAAAATTAATAAATTATATTTTCTTATTCATTATCTTAAATACAATTAGCAATTTTAGTCAAATGTCCTAAATTACCCTTTCTATATCCTCCATGTTTACAAAAAATATTTTCAGATTACAATGTTTAACCCATTTTTTCTAAAAAGCCAATTAAATTGGCTTTTTCGAATAAATTATTTTACAAAACTTCACATTTTATACTTTCAGTTAATATTTTTTCAACCAAGCTATGTAACATATTATTCCATTCATATTCTTCGAAAAACTTCAAAGCCAATTCAAAAAAGTTTGTTTTCGATATTTCTTCTACAATGGAATTATGCTTCAATTTTATACATTAAAGCATAAGTTCGAAAATCTTAATTCTTATTTTTCCAAAAGGCTTTACTTTTTGTAAATATGCAGTATCTAAAAATTCTTTTACTTCATATTTTTATAAATATTATATTATTTTATTTATTCCATTGCTAAAACAAATTACACTTCTATCAAAATCAATATCATATTCTTTTAATTAAGCTTCTTCATTTGGAAGAGTTCTTCTTCCCTTTTATTAAATAAATAAATATATATATAAATTAATTTAAAGAAAAATACTAAGATAATATAAAATAAAGCAATCATATTAGTTAAAATAAGTAAACTATGGTAAACTTTATCTTCAGAACAAGGTGAAGTAAAACAATCAAGTAAAGATTTAATATATTATTCGCTTGTAATATGTTCTAAAATAATTTTACCATCTTAAATAAATGTATATTAATTGCAAATTTCATTAATAATATGTAAGCAATTTGTAGCTACTTCCAAATTGCTATTTTCATTAATTATTTACTCAAAAAGCTTGTCTAAAAGTTTTAATTTTATTTATGTGAATTCATCACTTTATTACATATGTCCTATTGCTTTATATAATATTTCAGACATAGATCTACTATGCATTTATTCACATATGGAATATAAAATATCATTATTTTCAAATAAATATAGAAAAATCTATTTTAAATAAAAAAATTAATTTTATTTATTTATATATGGTTTATTTATTATACTTCGCTTTCTCTATTGTGATTTTTTAAAATTTATTATAATTAATTGAAAATTCGAGCTACATATCCTGCTAAAGTAATATTAACTTTAGTTTCCTTATTTTATACAAAACTCATTAATAATCCAAAAAGATATTTACTATCTTTAGGAATTTGTTTGTATTTTTATATGTATTTCTTTTATTATTCAACATGAACTTTTCTTTGTTTTTCATATTCTGTTAATATCTCGTTCATTATTTCTTCTGCTTTTTTTACTATTTCTTCATTTATGTGATCAGTTTCTTATTTTGCTTATTGTTCTATATTAATTTTTATTTCTGGAAATATATCCATATCATCTGAATCATATTCATTTTCATTTTCATTTTCCTCTTCTTATTCTATTTTATCATCTTCTTTACTATTATTTTTTGGATTTACTCCTTCTAAAATATCTAAAAACTCTTCTTCATATAGTTCAGAATCATTTTCATTTGCATTACTATCAAAAAATTGATGCATAACTATTTCTGAAGGACAAGAAAGGATTTCACAAGACATAAAAGGATACCTTTTTTTTATAATACTAAAAATATATAATTTTTTTTTTACGTATATTTCCTTTCTTTGCTTTCATATTCAAAAGGTTCTTCTATTACATATTTTACCATATAACGAAAATCATCATTATTTAATCTTTTATTATTTTAAAATAGAAAAAAAAAAATTATACTTTTTTATCAAAAGTGGATTTTATCCTTTAAATTCTGTTATAATTGTTTCTTATTCTAATAAAGTTTCTATTGACAAATAAGGATCTTAAAACAATTTATCAAATTCATTATTTTCAACGTTTAAAACTTTAAAAATGTCATCCCTTTTTTTTTGATAGTTATTTAAATTATTTGTTAATATTATTTGAATTAAAAATAAATAATTAAATATTTTTTAGGATATTTTTCAATCAAGAATAAATAGTAAATATTGTCGTACAATATGTTTCAATATTTATTAAAATTTTAAAACATAGATTTTTATATAATATAATATTTTTTTACATTTTTATTCTTTCTATTTATTATCAATATTTTTTTATTTTTTTAAATTTAAGCTTTATAAACGAAAACAATATTTATTTTTATTCAAAAATATAAAATATTATAAATAAAATTAATATATTTATTTATTTTATAAAGTGATTTATGGATATATAAATTAATAAGTAAATATACAATATTAACATAAAAATGTATGTTATAATTTTTTTTTATTTTTTTTTCATTTTAAAAAAAAATTGTTTTATATATTTTATTATTATTTCTAACTTTACATATTTTCTTTTTATCCTTTATCTGTTATATTATAATTAATAAGAGCAATATATTTATATTATTCTTAACTGTATTTTTTATACACATTAAAGTTAATTTTTTTACTACTAGCTTCAATAAGATTTAAATATAAGATATTAGCACATTCGATTAAATCTTCTTATTAATAGTTAGTAAAATCCTTCAAATTATCATCCCAAAAAAAAAATTATTTTATATTTTTGAATTTCTCACTTAATAAAATAATAGATGCTGCAATTTTGCTATTTTCAAATTTATTTAATTTCATATTTAATAAGCTTAACTCTAATAAGTATTAACAAAATAGGCTTTGAAATTTATCAAGGTTAACTTAAGATAAGAAAGCTTCCAAAAAATATAAGCGAGAAGGAGCAAACAATTTAAAATTTAGAATATTTAAAATATGGCCCTCACAATTAATAAAATAAAAGCTGTTTTAGTTTTATATTTTTATTTATTTTGCATATTCCGATATGCTAGGAGGATATATTTCTTAGTATTTGGCTGCTATATGAAGACATGTAAAAGCTATAATCCTCAACTTATTATCATCAAGTATAATTTAAGGAATATTGTTTTGAATTTAATCTAAGTATCTTATTAAAATATTCGTTGATAAATGTAATGTTTCTTAGCTTAAATTTAATCTCTACACTAAAGATATAAGAAGATTTATGCTAGTTTAACGAATGCATTCTTAATGAGGAGTTAATATATATTATTATTAATATTAATTCTTTTTTATTTATATTTTAATTATTTTATAATTTTATTTTTTTTACTTAATCTTTTATTAAGTATTGTATTATCTAATATCCATAATCTTTGATATATCCTTCTTTATTATTAAATAGCTAGGCTTGCAATTTTTCTTAATTATTGTTTTCTTCTAAATGATTAATTTCTACCTCGATATCATTAAAGGATTTAAAAGTATCATCTAAAATAGAATTTTATGATTCCGTTGTTTCATCACTTTTTGTACTTAGGCTTGAATTTTGTTTTGGATTTTAACTAAAAAGATCTTTTTGCTTTTAATTTAGAAAAAATTTATTTTGCTAATTGTATTCAGTTATTTAGTTTAATTATAGAAAATCATTTGATAGCCTTTAGAAGAACATTATTTTGTATTTTTTTAGTTAAATATTTTTTATTATAATATTTATTAAAAGTGTGTTTTTTTTTATTAATACATTTATAAAAAAATTATTAGTATTATTTTTTTATTTTAAAATTTAAAAATACTTAAAAAAATAGTGTTTAAATATAAATTTTAAATTAAAAATTTGAATATTTGAATATTATTTAAATAAAAATTATAATTAAAAAATAATGAAAATCTAATTTAATAAAATAAATAGAAATTAGTAAATATCAAAATATTATTTTTTTATTTTCTAAAATAATATTGAAATAACTTTTACTATATTTTTTATTGGTTTCCTTTGTTTTTCTTTCTATTTTTATATGATATAATCTCTTTTACTCTTAAATAAAAACAAAGGTTTATATAATATTTTATTATATTTTATTTTTTATTAATAAATTAATATTAATACTTTTTGTATATTATTGAAAGTGAATTTAATTAATTCTAATAATGTCAGATATTATAAATATTAATAATAAATAACTAACCATTTAGATTTTATTTTTATCTCTTTCGTTTAAAAAGAAATTTATATTTTATCAAAAGTTAAATATTAAAAAATCACTAAATATAACTAATTAATAATCATAAAGATTAAATATAAAAAAACTAAATAATTAATAAACATTTAATAAATAAATATTATTCTCTAAAGATAACTAATTGATAATAATAAATATAAAAATAAAAAAAACTAAATAATAAAATAATATTTAATAATAAAAATAATTATAATAAATAATTTTTTTTAAATAAAAATAGATTTTATATTTTATTAAATTTTTCATATAATATAATATAATATAATATAATATTTTAATTGTAAAATATTAATCAGCCGTACATATTTCTATACATTTCATAATAAATAAATATAGCTGTTGGTTACCCAATAAAGATAAATGAAATCCAAAAAATACAATTTCCAAGTTCAGAATTTTAGATTTTCAAATACTATTAAAAATTGCTAAAAAAATTAAATAAAACAAATTGTTACTTTTGTTAGCTATTTAGAAATTATAATAACGGGTGCTTATATCCATACAGCTATAAAAGCATGATACCCAATTATTCCTAAAGCCCCACTTATAATCCATTCATGTAAAATAGCAGAGAGTGTAAAAACAAGAAAATTTGCTATTACTTTAGAAATACCTTTTTACAATATAGGGGTATAAAAATGCCTTACACACCAATTGTGTACAGGTAAATTCCATAGTTTCCAAAAAGATTCAAAATCATTACAGTTCCACCAATCCTTTTTTATTAATTTATAATCTTTTATTTAAAAAATATATAATTAATTACTAAATAAAACTATCTATCTGCATATTTTAGTAATTCAGAAGTAACATTCAACCAAACTTAAAAGACTCCGTAAAATCCAGCAAGCCAAAAATAAAAACTTGGTATTGATAATTTAATGATTCTTTCAAAAAAAAAAGATAAAGGAGCTTTTTAAATTTCTCTTTAAATTTCATAAGTCTCTGTTAATAAAGGATCTAAATATTAAATCCATAAAACTCTATTTATAATGATTTTTTATAAATTATAAATGATTTTAATAAAATAGTAATACGTTTAAAACATTATCACTAGTATTAATTCCGATATTCTTTTTAAAAGCCATAATTTTCGAATCTTTTAAGTTCGCGGATATATTAATTAGAAGCAAAGGGTAGGAGCAGCTAAAAAGTAAAAAAGATCATAAATTTTTACTAATTAACTTGGATTTTCATAGCATTTATGCAAAATATATAGATTCTTTTATTGAATATATTATTTATAAATAATTATTTAATAAAAAAATATTTTATAAAATACATCTGCACTTGTTTCTGTTTCAGATATAAATTCGCTTAAAGGTTATTTTTTTGCCTTTTCATCTTTTTCGTACATTTCAATCCTTTTTATTATTGAACGGATACTTCTCATTACATGTGCATAACTAATTAATTTTAACCAAATAATAACACTTAATGTAATAATCATTATATTTGATAAAAAAGTTATATCAGTAAATATTTTAGATATTATAGGAGTAAGCAATTATATAGTTAGATTTATTACATTAAATATTACAGTCTTTCATTTTATTTTAAAAAATTATATTTAATTAAAATTTCAAACATAAATATAATTACTAATTTAGAATTAGCATATCCTTTAAAGTTAAGTTTTTAAATAAAAAAAGCTAGGAATACAAAACAAATTTAAATGCAAAATTAAATGCAAAATTTATAATTTACATAAGATAAAGGATGATTCCACTTTTTTAATTTAATATAAAATATAATTTTTATTTATAATATTATTTTTAGTAATAAATATATCAATTTTTTATATAATTTTTACTATATTATGTATTTATAATCCATAAATCCTTAAATTATCAATCATATATCTAATATTATTTACTAAAAGGCATATTGCAGCAACATTTAAAAACCCCTTATAATTTTAAACTGGTGATTCACTACTGAGTAGTGATGTTCTTTCAGCTTTTGCAGGATTATAACTTAAGGGACTTTTATATTTAATAAAAACTTTTATTTCATTAATCTTTTATTAATATTTTATATAAATTAGTTATGATTTTATATTTATTTTTATTTTATAAATATGTAAAATATATTATAAATTTACTAATTCTATTAATTCATTTATTATTGAAGAGGAGTAAGAAGTTAGTTCTAAGATTAAAATAGGACTGTCATATTGATTTTGTTTATAATATAAACGCATTTTTCTTATATTATTTAATTTTATAAAAAAATGATTTTATATTATTAGAATATATTATACTTATTTTCTTTATTATATTCATATTCTGCTTTGTCACATAAAAACGTACAAAACTTTTTGTTTTTATTTTCTAAAATATCCACTCTATAGAAGCTTGTTTTAAGTAAAAAAGTTTTAAATTTTTAATTTGTTATATTTAGTGATTTTTATTTTTCTTCGAAATATAAATGTTCTATTGAATAAAATTTTATTTGAACTTCAGTCATAAGTTTTTTATTTTAAATTATTTTAGTTTATTAAATTGTCTATATATGTTATCAATTATTTTAATGATTATATGTTTAGAATATTTTATAATAATGATATAATTTAATTTTTGATTATAAATATATAATAAAAAGAAATTATATTTATTTTAATTATATATTAATTATTTTATGTAATTAATACATTATTTAATTAATTTTTAAAAATATATTATATTCATTAAATTATTCTAATTAAAATAAATAATTTAAATATCTAATTTACTCAATATATATATTTTAAATTAAATAGTTTATCATTATGATGACATAATAATAATATTTTTTCCTCTTAATCAAAAAAAGTAATACTTTCAAAATAAAAATAAAATTAAAAAGCATTTAAAAAAATTAAAAGTAAAAATTTACTATTATTGAGCAACAAATTTAATTTATATAATTTTAATAATTAATAAAATGAATTATAGGCAATATAAACATCTATATTAGAAAGCAGAATATAAGATGATAATTTTTTAAAATAAGCTTAATATATTACCCAAAAAAATGTTGCATATATTAATTTATTTTAAAATAAATTTATTTCAAAAATAAAAAATAATTAGAATAAATTTTTTATTCTCAAAATAAAATCGAAATTTCATATCTGAAATAGGAAAGTAAAAAATTGCAAAAACAAAAACAAAAATATTGATTGTTTTAAATACTTTATTTTTTAATAAAATTATTTCGCAAAGATAAATGATTTAAGTAATTTTTTTAAAATTATAATTATATTGAAAAAAAAGTTTTCATAAATCATTATTTATTTAAAAAAAAGTAATTATAATATTTTAAATATATTATTAATAAAATTAAAAGAATATTTTTTAGAAAAAGATTGAATTAATTATTATAATATATTTTTTATTTATAATACTTTTAATTATCAAACACTTAATATATTAAAGTTATTTAATATATCTAAAATTTTAAATATTTGTAATCGATAAAATGAATAAAATTTGTATAATAATTTGTATACATATAAATTATTAATTTAAATATTTATTATTTTAAAATAATTAAAATTAATATTTTTTTATTAATAGAATGTAAAATGAATTTATTATTATAAAAAAAATATAATAAATATGAAAATATATATATATATATATATATAGAAGACATAAGGTAAGAATATAAAAAGCATATATATTTTTTATAAAATTAAAAAATAATATAATAACTAAGTTTTAAAACAACGATTAAAATTATAAATTTTAATAAGAAAAGACTTTTATTTTATTTGTAAAAAGAATATACTTATATACTTTATTTAGAATATAATTTAATAAGTTCTAAAAAAATATTATAATTTATATTGAATTATTGTAGCTTATAAACTAATTAAATATAATAATAATTATAAATTAACTATTCGATACATTGAATATCAATAAAAAATAATACCATAAATTGCATTGTAAAAAATCTAAAATTAAAAGATATCTATATTTAATTAGAAAAGCTTTTAATTGTAAAAAACTTTTCTAAAAATAAGTTAAATAAGTTTTTGGATGAATTAAAAAAAGGTTTTTTAAAATAAAAAATTATAGTAAATAACTTAAAATAAAAAAAAAAAATGTAAAAAAAGTTTTTGCCCCTCCCTAGCACATGATGCTTTCTCTTTAATACAGCTGAGATCTAGAAAAAAATGATGTTTTATCGCTGAGCATTTTGATGACAAACACACTATACACCTTCAATTGGATAGACCCTAACGCATTAATATATTACCTAAGAATAATTTTTGTCTTTAAATATGGATTGATGATAAATGCAACATTTTAAAATACACGTAAATAACTTAATGAATAAAATTTAAGGTTTATATAAAGAACATTATACAAAAAAATATATTAGGGAAAACAAAAATTGAAGTGTAGATACAAAAGTTAATTTAAACTTTAATTAAATTTACACACAAAATGGTATTTTATAAATAAAAAAAGATAAAAATATTTTTAAATATCATTAAATAATAAATTTAATATAAATAGATATATCAAATGATAATTTTTAATATTATAATGAATAATAAAACTTTTAGAAAATATATAATATTTAATAAAATCTGAAAAATAAATATATATTTTTATAATTTAATTTAATATAAGTAAAAAAATACTCCATAAATCTAATAATAAATAGATATAATAATTTCATATATAAAAATTAACTTTTTAATTATTTCTTCCATTTTTAAATTTAATAGACTACATACTTTTTTAAGAAGATATATCTTTTTATTATTTTATATCGCAAGTAGTTACTGCTGTATTTCGAATTTGTAAGTTTTTTTGACTTTCTTCATCTTCATCTCGATTAACAATATTAGTTTAAGTATAAAATTTTTGATTATTTAAAGAACTGAAAGACATAATAACTAAAGAGTTTTTTTTTTAGAATTTATTTATATTATTATTGTTATCGATTTAATTAATTTTTATTTGTTTATTAAAATGTTAATTTAAATTATCTTTTCCATTTTATTCTCCACCTTTATCATTAACATCTTATTCTTTAATAATTTATTAATCAATCTCATTATTTTCATTTTTTTTTTTTTTATGATAAGCTTTTCCTATCATAGTTACTGATTTTTCATATTCTTCAATAGGTCCTTCGAGTACAACTTCTTCTTTTTGGATTTCTTCTTTATTTTTTTCTTATTATTATGTTTATGTTTATTTTCTTTTTTTCTTTTTGTAAGCTGCTCCTATAAAATTAGCAACTTTTGTATATTCCTCAATAGGACCTTCTAATTCAAATTTATTATCTTAATTATTCTTTTGGTTTTATTAATTTCCTTATGATTAACTTTTTAGCATTTCTTTTTATTTTTTCTTTCTATAAGCTCCTCCAATTAAATTTGCGACTTTTTCATATTCTTCAATGGGACCATCTAGTAAAGCTTTTGGTTTTTCCAATTTTTATTGCTTTTTTTTTCTATAAGCATTCCCTATTAAGCTTGCAGCTTTTTCATATTCTTATATAGGACCTTCTAATTGTATATAATTATTTTATTTGTTTTATAATTCAATATTTTTTTGATCAGAAACTATAGTATTATTTTAAACACAATCTTATTTTTTGCCTATATTTTCATTAATAGAAGTATTTTCAAAATTATTAATAACTATTTTTGGGGGAGAAACATATTGAATTCTTGGAGAAGAAATACAATTATTTCCATTATAGGAAACAGCTTATACTGGTTCTTATTTTTTTTCGATACTTTTTTCGAATGTTAAATCATTAAAATTATTCATTAACTCATCTTCTTCAACATGAGGAATACATAGCTCATTATCATTTAAAAGAAAAGGTTATATTTATTATTATTATTATTATTATTATTATTATTATTATTATTATTATTATTCTTTATTTTCATTTTTCTTTTTTTTATTTCCTCCAAATTATTTATATAAATCCTTATTAGCGAAACCGTATTTCGAATTATTATTGTTATTTGTATTTAATTACTATATTAATTTTTAATTAAATAAATCATCTTCTTTTTATTATTATTTATTTTCTATTTAATTTTTTTATTTTTCTTTTGATTCGTCTTTCTTTTTTTAAAATGTATCTGCCTCTTCTATTACTTCTTGGATAATATTTTCTTAATTTTCTATTTAATTTTTTTCATATTTATTCTTAAATTATTCTTCATATTCTTATTCTTCATCATCTAACATAATTGGCTTTATAGATTCAAATGTACCATCATTATTAAATCCTATATTTTAATCACTAAACTATTTATAAAAAATTGGAAAAATAACTTCTTCATCATTTTAATTATTTCTAACTCCACCAAGCTTGATATTTTCTTCATTATCAAATCCATTTTAAACTATTACAATTGTTTCGTATGAATTTTTTATTATCAAATCACAATTTTTGCATTAAATTTATTTCCCTTCCAATCTCAATTCAACTTTATCAAATTAAACGTTAGTATTTTGTGGTAAAAAGCTTATACTTAGGCATTACTAAAAAATATTTGTGTAAATATTTTTCTATAAAATCATAAAAAGAGCATATAAATAAGGCTTAGTGGCATAAAAATCTCCTTTTTCTGAATTATAAATATCTTTAACATTAATAAAATGTTCAAAAGTATTATTTTCACAATAAAACTAAATCACAGCAGTTTAGTTTTATGTATTAGTAATAAACTATAAAGAACCAACAAATGTTTTTTACTAAAATTCATTAATATCTTTTAATTGGGTTAACTTTATTTATGCTATCAATTCATATTTATTTAAATATAATTCTTGTTCTTCATCTATCTCTTAATCATTTACAATTTCATTTTAAGATATATTTATATTTTTGTTAACATTATTTACATTCTCTTCTGAAAAAGGAGTTGATTAATGGCTTTTATCTTATTTTAGGGATATTTTTATTGAATTTTTTCTTATGGTAGATTACAATTATTATTGCTATTATATTTACTGTTATTAAGTTTATATTAATTATTATTGAGTTTATGCTTAAATGCTGTTTTCAGATGATTTTTATTTTTATAAGGAAATATTTTAAATAGTAGATGTCTTTTCTATAGTATTTTTATTAGTTAATTATAATAATTCATAATTTTTTTTATTTTTTTATTCTAAAGTATTGTTTTTATTTTCAATATTTAAAGTTAATTATTTTTCTAATTTATTTTATTATTATTAATTTTATTTATACTATAACTATTATTATTATAATTATTACTATTATTATTACTAATGCTAATACTATTATTATTATTATTATTACTATTAATATTACTATATTTATTATTATTAATTATACTATTATTATTACTATTACTATTATTATAATTATTACTATTATAATTATTATTTTTATTACTACTACTATTACTATTGTTATTACTAATACTATTACTATTACTACATTTTTTAATATTACTATTACTATTATTATAGCTATTAAAATTACTATTACTTTTACAATTAGTCTTATTATTACTATTAAAATTCTTTTTACTATTAATATTATTATTATTTTTTATATTATTATTATTATTATTATTATTATTATTATTATTATTAATTTTTATTTGTTTTTTCTTCCACTTAACTTTATATATATATTCTTTAAGGTTATTCTTATTAAATATTTAAATTTGGTTATGTTTAATTTTATATTTGTTAATCATAATTTTTATTATTAAAATTTGAATTTGTTTGCTTTTTTACATTATTACTTTATTTATTAATTGTAAATGACTTATTGTTTTTTTAAAAAAGTGAATTTTAATTACAATTTGGTTAATAAAAATAGGGTGAAAGTATAAAATCTTATAATTTTTTTTTTTTAGAGATTTTTTTTTATATAAAATTTTTCTTTATTTCCTATATTAACTTTTAAAAGTATTATTATTATCATAATTATTATTATACACCCTATTATTAGCATACCTTTCTATAAATCGATTTAACTAATTTTAAAAATGTTAAGCAATTTTACAATTTTCATTTAAATATTCCAAAGCAATATTCACTGAATTCTCGTAATTTACCAAAGCTTCTTCATAATTTCCGAAAAATTCTTCTTCAACTCCTACATTATGGTAACTTATAATTAAAGAATTCACATCTTCATTATTTTTTACCTCTTTTTCTAAGAAATCATGCTAACTTTCCAGCAAAGCCCTCCTGGCGAAATCTAAACCTTTCTTATGTTAATCTAATTAAGAAAATAAAGCAGATAAATTTAAATAAGTTATTCCTAAATATTATCTTTCGTTATATTATTACAATATATTTAATGCATTTTCATAACTTTTTTACGCTTTTCGAAAATCGTTCATTCTTCTATAAACACAACCTATATTATTTAAAGTCAAGGCATGCATTTTTACATTTATATATAAAGGATTGCAAGTCCAATATAAACACTTTTGTAAAATCTTTAATGATGTTGGGGTGTTTTGCTAGTTTAAGTAGTCTATAGAATGTTCATTGCAACATTTTATAATTTAATATAGATTTTCTTCATTTATATTTTGATTTTCTGAAATTATTTCATTTAATTTTTATAATGAATCATTTATTAACCCTATTTTTAAATCTAATAAAGCATCTGTTATTTATTCTTCGATTGTTTTATCTTTAGATTACGTTATTATATTTTATCTAGAATTTGGAGATTTCTAATTGTGCATTTTTATTTGTACTTATATATGTTTTTTTATTAGACTGTAATTATTTATTTATTTTTTTATAAAAATTTATATGAATTGTTATACTTTTTATATGAATTAAAGTTTTTTTAATTTTAAGAAAAAAAATTATATTTACTATATGATATTTTTATTTTTAAAGTATATAACTAAATATTTTTTATTTATTCAATATAGTTTGTTCTCGCTATAACAATGGTTGTTTTAAGCAAAAAAATTAATCAATTTTTCTACTTTTTTATATTGATTAATTAAATTAATTATATATTTTATAATTTATATAATTAAAAAATTCAATTAAATATCATAATTATAAAATTATTATAATTTTAAATATTTATATTATATTAAAAATATATAATAAAGATGAAAAATATAATTCTAATTATTTAATAAAAAAATATTAGGCTTTATATTGTTTAAATTTTTAAAAAACTATAAATATTGCACATCGGATAAACACCCTGGTATATATATTATGCTTATATTTTAAATAGTTAGAAATACATAATATATATTATTCACATACTTTATTTATTAATAATCTACCATAAGTCGTCAGTTTAAATACCGTTTGGAAGTTTTTCAATAGCAACACCTAATCTATAATCAAAATCGATTTCGTTTTTAATCTAGGAAAATTAAAAAAAATATAGATAAAAAATAATAAAAATTTACTTATTAATATTCTTAATCATTAATTTAACTAAGATATTTATTTTATGTAAAATTACTTTTTTCATTAAATAATGAATCAACTATTTCAACATTTTCAATTGTTTTTTAATTGTCTTCGATTTATATGATTATTCATAATCTTCATTTATTTTTTTTATTCCCAAATCAGGATTTAGTATGTAATAATTTCTCAATTTTTCCACTTCTTAGAAAAGAGTTTCAATTTAATCAGAATAATATCCAATTGAATAACCTCCTGAAAATTCATTAATTTCCACCACAAGAGAAAGCCCAACTTTTAATTATTTTTTAAGCAGGTTTTTTATTAAAATCCAAGGAATACTGATATTTAAACTTTCGTTTTTCTCAGCAAACCATGCCAATCTAACATTTGTAAGATAAAGTTATCCGAAAATACCTTATTCTGATCCTATATTATATACATTAGAATATTTTGAAACGACATTTTCCCCATTTAATAATAATAGACTTTTATCCTAAACAATAGTTCCTCTTTTTAATTCTCTATAAGGTATTGTTTGCTAATACTATTTTTGAACTTGTTAAAAAATATTAAAAATATTTGAAGATTCGCCTTTTTTAGTCTTAAAAATAAACTCAAATTTATTATTAGTTAACCTAGCTTTTATATGTATTGTGTATTCCGTTCCTAATAATTGATTTCTATCTTATTTAATTTCTGATGAAAATATTGTGTTCATTCCTATTGATAAATTTATTGATGGATCATTTTTAGAAAACCATATACATCGTAAATTTGTTACTATAAAGCAACCACGCTCGTGTTGGTTACCTTTATAATCTTCTATGTAGTCTTGGGATTAAAATTCCACTTCCCCAGCACATAAATCTAATAGTTTTTTTTAAAGATCGAATTTTATTTCATGGTCAAAAAATGATTGGTAATAAGTCATTTTTTTAGATTCTCTTTATTTTATTTTAAATTATTTTCTTTTATATTATTTTTAAAATATAATAATAATACTATATAAAATTTTTTTTATTAATCATAAAAATTATAAATAAATTACTTATATAAATTAAAAATACTTAAAAAGCGAATTGTAATTTTTTAAAAACTAATTTATAAAAGATTCATATATTTTAATAAAATATTTATTTATTTAATTTTAAATATAAATTTTAGTAAAATTATAAAAAATCAAATATTAAATATTTATAAAAATATACGAGTGTAATGTAAACATTGAAAGTTTAAAAAGCTATTTTAATTTTAAAAAATAATTAAATTTTTAATTATATAATAGATTAACAGTAATTAAAAGTAACTTTTCTTTTAATAAAAATTTAGAGAATATTTTAAATAAAAAATTATAATTTATCAAATTGCTTATTAATAATAATAATGGATTGATAATTCAATTTTAATTAATAATTAAAGATCTTTTTATTTATAATTTGAGTTTAATTATTCTGCTTTTAATATAAGAATAACCTATTATATATGTAGTATATTAAATATAAATTAATAAAAAAATATAATATATTAAATTATTTATAAAAATAAAATAATTAAAGAATATAATATTATAATATTATATAAGTTTTTTATTTTTTAAATATAAAAATAGTATATTAAAAATAAAAAAATTCAAATATTTAGCAAAAAAGTATTTAATAGTATATATTTTATATTATATTTTATCTATTATTTTATATATGAAATATTTTATAATATAACATTTAAAATCAAATATTTTTTTTTTACTTTGCTATTATAGTATAAAAAAAATTATATTATCTTTAATTAGTATTCTATGCTTTATTATTTTTTAAAAAATAAACAAAGAATTATATTAAATTATTGATAATAACTAAAAGATAATAAAACAAAAAAAGAAAAAAGAATAATGATTTTATTTATTTATATATTTTTTACTATCGCATTAATTTAATTATCATTTGAAAGTAATTTTTTAATAAATTTCATTTTTTTTGCATGCTAATAATCGCAATTCATAATAATGCTAAAATTTAATTTATATTTTTTTGAAAAAATAGATAACTATGAATTTATTAAAAAACTTATTAATTTAGAAGAAAATAATTTAAGTAATACAAAATTATATAGCTTATAAACCGAAATATAAAATAAAAAAAAACAATATTAAATAAGCTTATTTATCATATGAATATATTTGGATTTTAATTTATTATGTTTTTTTAAAATTTGCTAAAAATTTTTTTTATAAAGGAATCGAAGAATAGTAAAACCTTATTAATAAATTTGATGAAAATGAAGTACAAAAATATTTTTTTTAAAAATTAATTATTTTTTAAATATTTATTAAAATTAAAAATAAAGCTTTCAATAAAAAATCATTGTGAAGAATTTTTTTCAAAAAAAAAATATGTAAGATAATAAAGTTGTAATATTTCTCAATAAAGTTTGATTCCAATTATATTAGATGATTTAATTTAATTTAATTAGAAAAGCGATTATTGCTTTTTTGAGACATTAACAGATGAAAAATATCCTCCTTTAGATTTATAAAAATTATAAAAAGAAAAATAGAAGCAAATATTCAATTTTAATAAATTATTTAATCCTCTTTCATATATATTTTCATAAGAGATGTAGAAGAAAAAAAAAAAAAAAAATTATAAAATAATAAAAAAAAAAAGTTATACATTTATAGAGCAATAAGGAAATTTTTAAATAATCAATTAAAGCGAATAATATACAATAACAATAGAAGATATAGTATGTGATTCTTCAATAATATAAATTGAATAAATAAACGAAAGTATAAATCCATAGAATAAAAGGAATGTAATTTTTCATATAGTTCCTGAAGAAAAAGGTGAGCAAAAAATAACTCTGTATTTCAAAATAAGCATTTAAGATTAAAATCTTAAAATAGTAGCTCAAAGAACAATATCTTACTTAATATTTTTAAAATCAGTTAGAAAAAAAAAAAACACATTTATTTATATAATTTTTTTAAAAAAACAGATAAGAAATAGTTCATATGTATCTTCTTTAATAAACACAACAATAAAATGTTTATAAAATTAAATTGAATTTAGAAGTTTAAAATTATTTAATCCTTCTGAAGATGATTTAGAAATAAAAAGTATGTATTTTACTAAAAAAAGACTATATTTGACTGAAAGTATAAGTTAGTTTAAAAAAAATGAAGAAAAAGTCCATGAAATAAAATTATAAGACATAATTAATAAAAATAAATGGCGGATTACATCTCAAAATGAAAATTAAGTAATAGATTATGTCATAAATTTTAATTCTACTGGAAATTTCGTTGATTATTTAAGAATCATATTTTCAAATTCTTAACATATAATTTAAATTCCTATAAGAATTTAAGTTTAAAGGCAAGGACTTAATTTCGCTTAGCCTTTTCTCCATTTTGGAATAATACCAAATGAATATGTAAATTTTATTTTTTAAAAAAAAATATTACAATAATGATAAAAAAATATAGGGATTTATAAAAAGAAATATACAAGTGGAAAATAATAGTAATAATTATATACAAATAAAAGACATAATAGTAATAATGAAAGATAAAAACTATAACTGCATTTAAATTTAAGCACTAATAGACAACGAAGTAGATTGTTTAAATAACGAATTTAAAAAATTAATAATAAAACCTCAAGAAAAAATAAAATAAGTTGCCTAATTAAGTATATATCCTTCATAAAATATAGAAAATCAGAAGGCTTTTATTGGAAAAATAATTATATAAACAAACCAAACAGAAAAATATATAGAATAAGAGTTCAAATTTTATAAATATAAGCAAATTTTGAATTATAACCAAAACATAACAATGCATTATTTCCAACCAAATGAAAAAGGCATTCAAAAAAATCTAGTTATATAGAATAGTTTCACTTCCTAAATATAAATATCACGTGTTTTATAGGAAAAAAAACTTTTTAAAATTTTCGATTTCGAAGAAAGAATTCTTGATGTAGGTGAATAAAAATAAATTTTAAGTTTCCAATATATAGGCAATGTTTCAAAAATAAAAACTTATATTGTATTTGAAATTAATAAGAATTTTTTTTTGCCTGTTTTTTTATAAGTTTTTGATTTGAAGTTGACTTTTGTACATAAAAATTAGGTTTTTAATAGTAATAACTAAATGGTTGTCAATTTCGGAAATATTAGATAATATGATTCAGGACCTAATACTGTTTAATAAGTTAAAATTGTTAATGACAATCCTTAAAATGTGGAAATTTTAGATATTTATTTACCTGTTTTTATTGAAATTAATCTCAAATAAAAAAAACTAAGTCTACTTCCTTATCAAAATTTTGTACTTATTATCAAAATTAAGAATTAATATGTCCGAAAAAGTAAAGTAGAAGATGTAATTATCATTGAAACAAACTTTGAAAAATTTAAATTTGTTATCTAATATAACGTTGTTAATGGCGAAATTATTCTTTCTTAAAAAAATATTGTTTTTACAAAAAGCTAAAACTTTAAAGGAGAAAGTAAACAAATTTTTGTTTAAAATACTTTTGATGTTGACTTATTTGTTAAAGATATAATTATTTAAAATGATAAATTTGTTCCTATTCTTCATTCAAATATTATTAAAGCTAATTCCGAAAACTTTTATTTCGAAGTTTAATTTAATCATATTATTGAATATGTAATTTATTTTTATTTATAATTTTTGTTATAAAGAAATATAGAAAAATAACGATTTATTTAACGATAATTTTATTGGAATAGAAGATATTATAGCTTGGAGAGAAAATTAATAAGTAAAAAAAATTAATAATTTTTATATATGCTTTTTTAAATAATATTAATTATATACTAAATATAAATTGAATAATAAAATTTTATAATTAATAAAAAGAATTTTTAAAAAGAAAAGGATATTTAAACTTCTCTTTAACTAATTTTAGATTTATTAGAGTTTAATATTAATATTTAAGCAAAAATAGAACCAACATAATTAATTATGAGCTAAGAAATATAATTTAAAAATTTTGAAATAAATGGATATTATTTTTAGTAAATAATACTCCAAAATAACTTAGATTATCCAGTTTAATTTTAACTGTACCTTGCACCATTTGATATAGATTAAATAGAAAAATATAAAAATTAGTAATTTAACAAAAATTGCAGTAATTTTAAATTATATAATATAAAAAATAGGAATTAAGATAATAAATAAATAGAGTTAGCTATATGCATGCCTTAGCAATCCTAAAATAATATTATAACATAAATATTTAACAAGATAAGTGCTTTATTTATAGATAAATAAAATCAATAAACATATGAAATATAAGATTATAATTCGTTAAATAGAATAATATAAGTAAAAAAATAAATAATTAAAAATAAAATATAAAAAAGCTTTCACATTTTGATTAAAAAGATGATTATTAATTGACTTTAATACAGAAATTTTTATAATAAATAGAAAAAATTTTTGACGATAAACAGGTATATATATGTATTGTTAACACAATATAGTAAAAAACATATGAATTGTTCATACAGAATTAAATAATAAAAAAATTAGTTGAATTTTATAAAAACCCAACAGAGAATCTATTGCAAATAGAAGAAGAAATAAGCAAAATTTCATAAATGAAACGAGAAATAATTCAAATTACGAAGATGACAAAATCATTTTCTAGCAGATTTGTTCAGTAATCTTAAACCAAAAGAACTTTTTTAGAAAAGATATAAATTTTTATTTAATCTTTTCTTTTTTTTCCTAAAGAAGATATTGCTATAAATAAGGATTTTGCAAACAATTTACCTCCCTATTAATAAGAAAACTAAGAAGACTAAGAACAATAACTCTTTTTGAATTATTACTATACTAATAAAAGTACCATTATATAGCCTAACCAAACTGAAAGCTCTCATATTATCTATTATATTCCCAAATTTGGAAATGCTTCAGGAAATATTATAATTAAAAATAATGCGAGTGGAATTTAAATTGTACCAATTTAAGGAAATGCAGGAGTTGGTAGAATAAAACTTATTGATGTCGATTTTCATATTCCTTTTCTTTAATTAGAAGACGATAAGGATTACTTAGTAGAGAAAGAATTATATTCCAAAATAATCCAAAAATATATCTAATAAGATGTTTTCATACTAAGTTATACATAAAAAGAACTCGAATAATTACAAAAAATAAACTTAAATATAGGTTGCAAAAAGTTCAAAATATAAAATATAGGAGACTACCCTATAAATATACAAGGAATCTATATCGAAAGTTAAAAGTGTGAAGGATATGGATTTTCTATTTACTCTTAATAGTGTGAATATAGCTTTATTTTGTAACCTTAAAAAAATAAAAGTATAGACATTTGCTATTAGACAAATTATCCATATACAACACTTGAAAAGAATTTATATTTTTATACTTAAAGTTATTCTTTTAAATTTAAAATTAAAGCATAATTTCTACATTTAGATGAAATCAAATAAGATTAATATTTACAATAAAATAAATAATAATATAATTACCTAGTTTTAATAATTTTTGGATTGTCCATAGGAATACTTATATATATTATTTTTGCTTTCGTTTTTTATGAAATTTTTTTATAAGTTTTTAAAAAAGATAAGGCTTTTTTAAAAAGAATATTCTCTTTTTCAAAAAATGGCAATTATTTTTCAAATAAAAATAAATTAGAAAATGAAACCTTTATTTTAAATAATTTTATTTAAAATAATTAATTGTCTTAAAAAACACTTTCCTGTAAATAATTATTGAATTAAATATATGAAGAAAATAAAAAATAAGTGCTTATGTAATAAATATAAATAACTCTTAATTAATAATAGCTAAAGTAGTAATAATATGAATAAGAATAACTTCTAAAACAAAGTGAGAATAATAAAAAATCTCAAGAAATAGAACTTAAGTTGTAAGAAAAAGAAGAATTTATTGAAAGAAAAAAGAAAAAATAAAAAGAATAACAAAATTAAAATAATGAAAATATTTCTGAAAGTAAAAATAAATAAATTTCAATTAAGAATTATGATGATTAAGAAGCTAAAAATATAAAAATTCTCCGAAAAACTTAAAATTATTAAACTTATTAATAATAAAGTAAATGCAGCATCCAAAATTTAGTAAAAGTAACTGAAAATAAAGATTTGAACTCTGAAAATAATTAATATGACTAAAAAAAAACTAATAATAAAGTATAACAAACTAAAGTCCTTGAGTAAACTTAAGATAGTAATATTTAAAATATTGAAACTAACATCAATACTAGTATCCCCAATAATAATAATGGCAATAGTATTAATATTAATAATACAAATAAGAATAATAACACTACAATTACTAATAGCAAACAAAATAACTAAAATAACACATAAACTAATAACAATAATAATTTAATAAATATAGAAAGTATTAATTAAATTAGAAAATAAGAAGAAAATTATATTATGGATAATTTTCAATATTAAACAATATAATATTAACCGATAATTTAAAAGAAAGAGTTTTTAGTACATGATCACAGTATGAGTAGTGAAAATGAGGAAATATTAATCACATCAAACAAAAAAAAGTAAAAGAAGAAGAATTGGAAAAAAATAAAGAGATTAAAAATTAACCAGATGAAGAATAAGGAGAAGAAGAACATGAAAATGATAATTTATAAAAGAAAAAAATAACTACAAATGATAGTAGTGAAGGAAACTTTTCAAGTGGTGATTCACTATCAGGAGAAGAAATAAAGAATTATACGTAATAATTTAGTAAATTTAAAGGCTTTGCATTTGGAGATTACTAAAACATAACTCAAAATAATATAAAATAATTTCAAACAATAACACAAAATATAATATATAATCGTTAAAATACAAACTAAACAGAAAGCAGTGATGAAGATAATTTAAAAAATAAATACTATAATGTTTTTAATTAGAATTTTTCACTTTATCCCTTAAACTCTGGTCTAGATTGCTATCCAAATTAATTTTATGAAGAATAATAATAATAATAAAGCAAATAATAAATAATTTTTACAGAAAATATATTAATAAACTAAAAAAATGCAAATATAAATAATTAAATAAATCATAATTCAGACTCAGATTTTTATTCCGATGAAGGAAGTAATTCACAAAATGATGAATTTTATTCTGAAAGGTAAAATAAAGGTTTCTTAAGGCCAAATTTATTATTTTAATCTTATCAAAATACCCTTTAAAATCAGAAAATGTCTCCTTAATAATAATACTATTTTGGAAATTAAGTATTCTTTAACAAAAGTAATAAAACGCAAGAAAAAAGTTTGAATATTCCATTGAATAACTAACATATTTTGAAAAACTAAATACCGAAATCATTTACACCTAATACTACTTAAACTAATATTGGAATACATTTAATTGGCCCTCCTCCAGGTATAAAAATCGATAATATAAAAAGTAAAATTCTTGATTCTGATTAACCGATTGATTCTTTATGCGGATAATTACCTCCTGGAATTTCTTAGAAAATTAATAATAAATGAATAAAAATTATTAATATAGATTTAAAATAATCATAACAGTATTTTAAAATAATTTATATATATTCATTTTTAAATAAATTAAAGTTAATATAAAAATATTACTTATTTAAATTTTATAAAATATTTAATTTTTTATTAAATTTTTTATGTTTCATACTAAATTTGGCATATAAGATTTATAAAAAATAAAAAACTGTACTGTATAATCTTAGGGTTAAAATGAATAAAATTCAATAGAATATCAAATTAAATAAAAGTGTGCTAAAACATCCAAGTTTAAAATAAGCAATAAGCTTATAAAATTAAAACAATTAATAATAACATTAAATATAAAATTTAAAAATAAATATTTTTAAGCAGATAATTCAAGCCTAAAAAAAATAACTCTAACTTAAAAAAATTTAAATCATAAACTATAAAATAAATAAATATTCTTTTTTTGTTTTTAAGTAAATTAAAAAAGACATCTAAAGAAGATCTTTAATTATGCTTTACTTTTAATAAGACAAATTAAAAAAAATAAGATAAAAAATACAAAACTAATATAATTTTGTATTTTTTTATATTTATTCATTATAAGATTAAATTAATTAATTTATAAAGTAAAAATTTATAAAAAAAAAATACATGAAAACACAAAAATTATAAAAAATGCAATTAATAAAAAATTAAAACATAAATAAATATTTCTAATCAAAATTAAAATATTAATTTATTCTTAAACATGTAAAAAATGATATTAAATTTATCTAATAATATAGATATTTCAAATTTAATCAAACTTAACTTTTATAAAAATTAAATATTTAGATAAAGATAAAGGAAAAATTAAACTTATATATGCTAGATCATCTATTAAAGTATTTATTTGAATCTACTATTTTATTTTTATTGTTATTCAATTTTTTGTATATTAAATTATATATAATTAAATAATAAATAAAGAATACATAATTAATGAAGAAAAAGTATATATAATAATTATTAATAATTTTAATATAATAAATATTTTTTTAATATTTTCTAATCATTATAAACATTTTTTTTCTTTTATTATTACTTAAAATCATATAAAAAATTAAATATATAAATTTCTAAGAAATATAAATTAATTATATTATATATTTATTTGTTATAAAATATAAACATTTAATTTAATAATGCATATTCTTTACAATAATATGATATATTAATAATTTTAATATATAATTATTTTTCTTTTAATTAATTTTAATTTTGTTCAAATTTATTTATAACTAGTAAAAAAAAAAACTATAATATATAATAAATTAATCAATATTTTTAATATTTAAGGTTAAAATTATATAGTGAAATGAATCAAATACATTTATATTTATATAAATATATACAAGATGATTAATTAATCAATCTTATTTTAATAAAAATATAGTAGATAAATTTATTTAAAAAAAAAAATTTAAATAAAATCTCCTTTACTAATTTTTTTCAGAAATATCATTTACATCCTGTATGCATTCCAAAATAATTAACATGATCTTTAATTGTATATTTATAAAACCATATACTATTTGAACAGGTTTTATCTTCAGTTATAATACAAATTTTTAAGTTATCATCTTTTAAATCCAAGCCTCTGTTCCTACATGTCTATACATACCTGCAATAGAAGAAGGAACATGAGGTACAATATCATTCTTATTTACAGTTCTATAGCTATTTTTTACAAGGTTATCGAAATTTTATTAAAAATATCGTTTCCAACTCTAGGTGATCCATAAGTATAATGATAAATCATACCTCTATTATTAACTAAATTTAAAAATGCCAATTCGAATGCAAATAAAGTAGCTAACGCTCCTCCGTAAGAATGTCCAATAATATAAACATTAGCTGTAGGATATTTTTAAGTGAGATTTGTTATACATTCAATAGATTAATTTAAGACACTCTATAATCCAACATAAAAGCCTTTATGGACTTTACAACCTGTACAGTGTTTATAACATTTGCGATTTATTCTTATATTATTAATCCAATTTTAAACATTTTTAGTTCCTCGAAAAGCCATAATTATCTTATTTTATTGTTAATTATATCCACAATAACATTATGTATTTTATTCTTAACTAAAAATTACTTAAACCTCTTTCATACCAGGTTTTTCAGAGCAAAATAAGCAAGTCCAATTTTCTATCTCAGCTTATGGACAATAGCTTATTTTAGAATAATATGATACTTCTTTTAAGTATTATAAAGTTATTTATTATGTAGTTAATTATCTTTTATTTAAAGGGTTTAACTTCTTTAGTAAATGAACTATTAGAATTAGCAGAAAAGTAGCTGCTAGTATGTATTTGTAATTCATTTGATTATCTTAATTATTTATTTTAGATAAAATATTATAATAAATGTAGATATTAAAAATTATAATATTTAATTTATATATTTTTTATAAATAATAATAAATTTTAAAAATCTAATAATAAATTATATTATTTTTATTTTTTAATATTAAATTATAAATAATTTTAGACACACGTATTTTAGAAAATTTCATGTAAAACAATTACTTCCAAAATTTATCATTTATAAATAATTTTATATTTATAATTATCAATAAAATAAACAAAAATAATTTCAAAATAATTATATTTTAATTATATTAAAAAAATTATAACCAGAAATTTTTACTATAAATTTCTATTTATTAATTTAATTTTAATTATTTTTAATATATATAAAATAAAATAAAATATAATATTAATCTTCTTTATATGTTTAATAATTAAATCATATTTATTAATTATGTCCATTACATATAAATTCTTTCTTATTCAAAGTCATAACCTTTAACTTTTTATAGTAATTTTATTAATTTTTTATAATTTATTCAAATTTTAATTAAAAAATATGTTTTCTTAAAAGTGTAACTATTAAAAAAAAATGATGTCTTATTACAAAGAAAAATTTATTTTTTTATAAATATTTTATTTGCATAAAATATATTAAATTATTATATTTTGTAACTTATTTATAATATTATTAATTAATTTTACATTCTTAATTAAAATTATTATTAATCTATATATCAACTTTTTCATTCATTATTATACATATTATTTGCCTATTACATTCGTATATATTATTTATTCCTATTATTTTTTCTGTAATTTATTTTAAATAATAAACAAAAAATTAGGTGAGAAAAAATTTATAATTTTTTTCTTTTTGTTGATTGAGTTTTCAAAAAAATTATAAAAAACATAATTTGATAAAGTAATAATTTAATGTAAAATACTTTAAAAATTTATTAATTTTTATTTTTAATAATCCTTAAATTTAAATAGAAAATTCCCAGCCAATATTTTGATTTCTAGACTTTAAGGTAGTTTTATTATATTTTTCACTATTTCTGTTTTTTAATTATAGTTGTGATTATAATATTTTATTTTATTTTTAATTTTTTGGTTTATTGACATTTATTTAATTTTTTTGATTTATATATAATCCTTTTATAAAATATAATCAGATATTAGCAAATTAGATCTTTCATATTTTATCTATTTTCAAGAAATTCAGTAATTTTGATTAGAAAAGCAATAAAAATTTTAATTTTTTTATAGTTTCTAATCATTTAAACTTTTAAAATTCATATATAATTTTTTTTAAAAAAAATCAGGTTTATTTTATTAAACTTAACTTTTTTTGAATTAAGGGAGTATTTCTTGATTGAAATATTTTAAAAACTAGTAATTAATATAAAAAACATTAAATAAGAATAAAATTAAAAAAATAAACAATAAAAATAAGAATAAAAATAATTAATATTAACAAAATTAAACAATAAAAATATTAATTTATATAAAATATATTTATTAAAATTATATATTTTGGTTTAAATATCGAAATTTTTTATAATTTTTATATTGAGAAAGGATTAACTTATAATTAAACCTTCAAGTCACTGGATAACTGGATAATATTTTTTTTGTTTATTAACTTCTAATGTTAATTGAGATTAAGTAAATCCATTATTAGATCGTAACTATTATAAAGATATTTAAATGAATAATGTATATAAACTAAAATATATTATAAAAAAATATAAAATATATATTTTATATTAATATAAATTAATATTAAAATAAATTAAATATAAAATTAATCTATACATAAAATTAATAATAATAAATTTGTATTTTAAATTTTTATATGTCGCAATATTATATATTTTTAATATTTTAATAATTAGATTTGTAATTTGATTATAATATACTCTTAAAATATAAAATAAAAGATAAATATAATACTATATTTATGTTATTATTTTATGTTTTATAATTTTAAATAGAAAAAAATTATATAAAATAAAATCATAAATTTTATTATTTATTGTAATTTAATATTGAAAAATCAAATATTTATATCATCTATTAAATTAAAATATAATAATTATTTATCATAATAAATTTTCTTTGTTTTATATTTGAATATAGATCCGATCATATATATGTATATATAAAATATCTTTTTTTTATATATAAAATAAGCTTTATAAAAATTAAAAATATATATATGATTTTTGTTTCTATTTTATACTTTAATTTTATTTATTTATTAAAAAAAGTATGTATTATTTTTTTTAATTAATTTTTATTATTATTATATTATTTTTATATATTTTTTTTATTTTTTCTTTTTATTTATATATTTCTTTTTTTTTGTTCTTTTGTTTTTATATATTATTTAATATATAATATTTTACCCAAATTAATTTTAATATTAAATTAATTTTTTTAATTTTTTTTTTTGTATAAAAATTTATAAATTATATAACATTTATTTTTATAATAATATATTATATTTAAAATTTTATATTTATAAAATATATTTATTATTTTTAATTTATATACAAATGTAATTAATATAAAATATTCAATTCATAAAATTTGTTTAGATTGCATATAATATCTTATCTATTTATTTTAATTATATATCTATTTTCTATTATTTTTATTTTATATTAATTTTTTATTTATTATTATTATATTAATTAGATATGAAATAATTTCTTTTAATATTATATAAACCTTACATATAATAATGATATATATTATTATTTACAAAAAATTTAATATAAGGAATATAAAAATTAATTAAAGAAAATAATTAAATATTTATTTCTAATATATTTTTAATTATATTTATTTTATAATATATATTTTATATTTCATTTTTTCATAGTTGGAGAAATTTCTTTATTAGATGCATTAGTATTTATAAAAGATATTTTTAACATACTTTTTTTTATTTTAGCTTCATATGAAACATTTAGATTACTTTGATATTTTTTTAACTCTTAAATAATTTATTCAACTTCTGTATATGAGATAACCTATGTTTTTTTTATAAGTGCAGTAAACCTAATTAAAATTATATTAATAAATATATTAAAAAAGAAAAAAAACTTATTAATTTATTCATTAATAATTTCGTTTAATTTTATTTTTAAAAAATCATAATCATTTTATCTTCTCATCATTTCTTTTTAATTTTATTCTTTTATAGCATTTACAGAATTTTACCAACTTTCGTTTTCTTATTTTAAATTATTTCTTAATGTATTTTCCATTTGTTCATATAAAATTTTTAATTATTTAAAGTTTTTTCTTTCAACCATTAATGCTTCTTTGTAAGATTCTGATTTTGTTTATTCCATCTAATATTCACTTTAAATCATTAGAATCTTATTTTAAAGGCGTGTATTTTCTTTAAGTAATTCTTAATCATATTGAACTTACGCGGCTTATTAATCAAAATCAATTAGGTTTTTTTTATTCTATTAAAGGAGTTATTTTATTAAATTATTTTTTTCTTTTATATCAATTATTGCGTTTTCATATGTTAAAGGGAATATATTTTTTTCTGCATTTTCTATTTCTATTATATTATTTATTTAAAATTTCAATGTTAAAAATTAATTTTAAATATAAATATTTATTTTTACATTGCTTGTACTATTATTAAACTTTGTCAATAATTTAAGAAGCTATTCCACTTAATTTTAGCATTTATTATTCTACGAAAATATTTTTCCTTTATCCAAATTTGCTTAATCCTTATTCGTCTTTTTATGCACGTAAAGAAATCAAAGGAGGAATTATTTTACTTTTTTATTTCTAATTATTAACATTTATTGAAGTACTCTAAGTTTTTTAAAAAGTATCCATACCTAAAACGACATCCTCTATTTATCTTCTTATTGTTTTACTATTTTGCGTGCATTCGTCAATCACTTTTTCAAGCCTTTTTATGTGTTTTTATTATATTTTAATTACATTATTTTTTAATTATGTCTTTCCATAATCTATTACTTACTTCCATTCTAAAGCGCTTAACGTCCTTAGTAAATTTTAATTTACTATATGTGAACTATATTAGTTTTATTTTAATAAAAATATTTTTATTTTTTACTTTATTATTAGTTTTTTTAATTATATTATAACAAACTCAGGAGATATTTATTCTTTTGACATAGCTTCTTCTATTTTTTAAGGAAATTCAAGTAATTTTTTTATGTTTTCTGCATTTTGATTATATTCAAATGATTTAATTAATTTATCATTATTCTCTTCAAATTATTTTCTTTTATTATTTTTTTATAATTTAATTTATATGATTTTTTTACAAAGAGTATGTTTCACTATTATTACCATCATTATCATCAACAAGTACATTGTCATCTATAACATCTAACGAAAAATTTCTAACTTTTTAAATATCAGTATTAATAGCCTGAATATTATTTTATATATTTTTATAATAAAAAAATAATAAGAATAAATAAATATTTAGATTAGTTATAATTACACTAAAATTCAGTTTCATATTATTATTGAAATAGTCAGCTAATTTTATTTCTGATAAATTTAATTTGGTTTTTAATAAATCATCAAATTTCTAATCACCTTTTATTTTATTATTTTTTTCATATAAAAATATGTTTTTTTTTTTTTTCCAAAAAAAATATTATTTTTATACATAAATTCTTTTTTTCGTTCAGCAATTACTAATTTGATTATTCTAATTTGTAAATTTAATCAATTAGTTTTTAAATTTATTTCTAAAGAATTTCTAATTAAAATTTATTAAAACTATTTTTATTAACTTCCTTAGAATGAAGTGTATAAAGTGAATTTTTTTCATTTAGTGCTTCACTCAATTAATTCTAAATTATAATACTTTACTATTTGCTTTATAGAAATTCAATTTCAAGTTACTTATATTTTTCTTCCAAATCAGTAATATTTTATTTCTAGGTATTAATAATATCTTCTTTAATTTTCAATTTTGCTTATAGCAAATCACCTCCCATTCTAAAAAAACCATTATCTTATAATCCTAAATCACTTCCTAAACCTGATCCTTAAATGTTGACTGGAGTAATTTATGAATTCCCAACTTAAGAACTTATTAAACTAATTTTATTTTGAATTTCTAAAAGAGCATCAAGTTCTGATTCTTAAATAAATTAAAATAAATATGTCTACACTAAGAAATATATTAATATTTTACATACTTATATTTTCTATTTTATTGCATTTAGCTTAAGAGGGTATTTAATCCAAATCAACTCTAATGTCTCCTACAACTTTTCGAAAGTTTTAATAGATCGATTTATATTATACTAGTTCTTGCTTTAATAATTCTATTGTTTATTTTAAAGATTCAGCAGAATGAGTAAAATTAACTTTGAAATGATTTTTTATTGTCTTTGCCCTTGTTGCGAACTTTAAAGATGAAATAGTATCGTCTATAAACTTAGAATGCATTGAACAAGTAACAATTAAAGAAGTCTTTATTTTAAAGAAAATAAATATATTTTCATTTAAATAAAAAAAAGAATAATATACTTTATAATTTCCTCCTAAAGATTCCTATAAAATTCTTGTTAATTTCGAATCTCTATAAGGAATATGTTCTTATCCTGTAGTTAGAGAATGAATAACTTTTCCTAAAAAAAAACAAAATATTATAAAATAGTATAATTTTACTATATTCACTATTATTATAAAAAAAAACGAACATAATATAGAATTTCTAATATAAATAAATAAATATAAATTAAAATACCCAGACAAGTTAAGGATAAATTAATTTTAATAGCTTCTTCTAAACCTTCACCAACAACTCCACTTTTAGACACTTTTTCACATCCAGCAAGATCAATCAGGTTAAGTTTACCATTTTTTTCAGCTCCATTAGGAAATTTTTGACAAATCTAAACCATAAAAATAGTATGAGATCTAGAACTATACTCATTAAGTTTAGTAGATCTTGTTTATCTATTATTATATCCAAAATTGATCACATCAATTAGTTCATTTTCATCTTAAATAAGTTTTTGGGTAAGTCCTTAAATAAAAATTCCTTTTTAAGGATTTTCTTTTATTTTAAGTTCTACTTTTTCATCTTGTATAATATTAAGACTATCATGAAGATTTTCTTTATAAATTTCGAGCATAGAACATTTAATAATATATTCTGCATCTGTTTCATCATTATTAACATAATCAAATAACTAATCACACATTCTAGGAATTATTCCTTATTATTTTTAATCATCGATGTTTCCAAACATAGTGAAAGATTTTCCACTTCCAGAAACACCGTAAGCAAAGATAGTTCCATTATAGCCAATGAGGACATCATTAACAACTTGAACTGCGATTTCTTGATAAATATTTTCTTAAGTAGACTCAAAAGGGAAGATTTTATCAAGCATATATACTTAAGTATCATTAACTATTTTTACTGATTATGAATTTATTATTTCTATTGCATTATAGCCTAATCCATTCATATTTAAATCTACTTCTGCTTAATTATTAGGTCTAAATCTGACATATGTTTTAACGTTTCCATTTTCTTGTTAATTAGTAGAACCTTAGTTAATTTATGTGAATGTTTGCTAGTTTTATGATTAGTTTTGCTAAAACTAAAATACTTATTTATTTTTATTATCCTTTTATATAGATAGTCTTTTTGGGGTAGAAGCTGCAGATTAATTTTATGAAGAATTGCTATCTGTGCCTAATTTCAAGTTTTTTTTAAATAATTATTAAGCTACATTTATCCCTTTTAAGCCTTATAATTTATCGTTTTCAAAATTATCCATAGAAATGTCTTTCTCTTCTAGTATTTTTACGTAATTTATAATTTTTTAACAAGGAATTTCCTAAAATGGAAATTAACTTTAGTTCTAATTAATTGAAATAGATATATTAGGAATTTCGTCAGCATACTAAGATTTATGATTTAATTATATTGATTCTTTCTTTTCTCTTTATTCGTTTATTATTACTTATTTTTATGACTTTTTCTTTTATCGGAGTTCATCTGTTATTGGTTAATCTTCTACTGTAAAGTTTTTTATTATTTCCTTCGACTATTAAGGTAATAAATATTAAGATTTTTACAATCTTTAAGTACTACTTTTTTGAATACTATTTACATTTCGTTTAGATGAAATTTATAAACTTATTTATTTATATGTTAGTAAATCATTATTTAATCTTTTAGATGGCGAAACATAATTTGTTTTTTCATTATTTTTACTATTTGTACCTAACTTTTGTTTTATCATATTCATTTTTTAGATTTCTTTATTTTGAGTTTATTAATCTTTTATTTATAAATTGTATTTTTTGCTTTATTAAAATAGAAATATAAAATTTATTTATTGCTTTTATTTAATTTATTAATATATATATATAATATTTTTAATTTATTTATAAATATTTTTATTTTAAGAAATTTTTATTAAATAAATATTTTTTAAATATTATAAATAAAATTCAAGTATTGTATTTATTTAATAAAGTCTATATTTAAATATATTTCTATAAAAAATAATAAAATAATTGAAATAAATTAAAGCTTAGTGTTAAAATAATTATATAAAATAAATTTTGTATTGTTTTATAATTTTTATCATATTAAATCTTAAAAAAATATAAGTGTAAAAAAAGACAAATTAATACATGTTTGGTATTTTCTTTTTTTTATATTATTTAATATAATTTATGTGGTTAAAATTATTTTTAACAAAATTACAAATAAAAATAAAATAAAATATTTAATATTATAAAATATTAATGTTTAATAAGTATATTTGAATATGTAATATTATTAGTTAAACTTTTAAATAAAATTACTATATTTTATTTAATATATATAAAATTAAGAAAAAAATTATAAAATAAATTTATATTTAAAAAAAATATTAAAATTATGTTTAATAATTAAATTTAAAATATTTTTATTAATTAAAAAAAAGTATATGGAAGCTTAGTTTTATATTCCTGATTAATATAAACCGTTTTTACCACATCTACTTTCTTTGATAGTTTTACTTATATTTATAGCACAAGTTTTTTTTACATATTATTTATAATCAGAATGTAAAAAAAAAAATATGCAAAAAATATTAAATATATTTATATTTGATTTTAATAAAAAATAACACATAAATTAATTTAAAAGAATCATTACTTGATAAAACATATTTGTTAATTGCAGCAATATCTTTGCTATTATTTTTTAAAAGTTTAGAAAAAGCGGTATGCTTAGATCCAGGATATGTTCAATAAGGAGTAAAATTTAAAAATATAAAAAAATAACCAAAATAAGGATGAAGAAAATGATTAGATAATATCAAATATAACTGAAGAAGAATTAATTAAAAAAAGATATTGTAAAATTTGCAAAATATTTAAACCAGAAAGAGCAAGCCATTGTTCGAAATGCAAAAGATGTGTCCTTCATATGGATCACCACTGTGTTTGGACTGGTAATTGTGTAGGTTTTTTGAATAGAAAATATTTCATTTTAGTTCTTTTTTGGGGTTTTTTTTCACTTTTTGTATCTCTTATTTTTGGATTAAGATATTTACCTTCAGTTATTAAAGATTTAATTGTATATATTATTTAATTTTATAAACATTTTTTTTAAATTTTAAAGTATGACTATGAATAATATGAAATTTTTTGGTTTTTCATTAATTTTTTTTAGTTTTCAATTTTTTTAGGCGGAGTTACAAATACTTTAGGTTTTTTTCAATTAAATAATAAATATTTTAATATTTTTTTTTTAAAAAAAGGTTTATTTATTTTCTTATTATAACATTTAAAATTAGTTTATTTAAATTTGTCAACTTTAGAATAAATAAAAAGAATTTAAGTAACAATACATATAAATATATTTATAATTTTAAAATAATAAAAAATAGTAATCAGATTATGATTTGGTAAAAATTAATAATATCTTTATTTTTTTTAGATTGAAATAATTAAATAGGGAACTTTATAAAATTTTCAATTTTATTTTGGTAAAAATATATTCTCTTGGTTGTTACCTTATGGATAACCTCTAGGAGATGGATATAATTGGAAAAAAAAAATACATTAAGTAATATTAAACATATATTTTTGTATTTTATATTTATAATTTTAATAAAGGAAAGAAAATGAGATAATTTTATAATATATTTCAAAGCAATTAGCTTTAAAATGTTTTTATCCTACAAATACTAATATATTTTTTTTAATTTTTTTTTCTAAAATAATTTGTAATAAAAAATATTGGATAATGTGTTTAATTTTAAAAAGATATTTTTTAACATTTATATTTAATTATAACTTTTAAATAAATTAAATAAGGCAAATTTTTAATATTATATAAATAAAATAATTTTATTATTTTTATAAAAGAATATATATTTAAATTTTTGTTATAATCAAAATAAAATATCGTATTAAAAAAAATGAACTAACTAGAGGAATAGTTACCAATATTTTAAATATGTAATTAAAATTAAAAATAATAATAATAAAATTAAAATATAAATAAAGTTGATTTAAAAACTGACATTATTTATTAGACAAATAAATTTTATTAATCTGATAGTTGCTTAATTTGTAGTTGTAAAGAATAATTAAGTGCATGGTAATAAAAACAATATAAAAATTAAAAAAATAAATAAATAAAGCTATTTATGTGGGAAATCAGTATGCGAAGTATGCAAAAGAAGATATATAAATGATTAAAAAGCATGTGATTTATGTTTTATGAAATATTTCAATATATAATTAGAAAAAGAAGAGAAGCATAACTTAAAAATATGGAAAATGATATAATTAAAGAAACAGGAATAAAAAATAAGCTATTAGAAGAATTAAGTGAAAATAATTAAAGTGAAACGGATAATTATTAAGAAAAAATAAATGAAAAACATGATAAACTTAATAAAATATAAAAAGAGAATAAATTTTTTAAAGAATAAATAGATTAATAAGTTGAATAAATAAACTTATATTCAGAAGTTTTCAAGTAAAAGAATGAAGAGAATAACAATCTAAAGTAATAAAAATATATTTTGAAAACAAGAATTGTAAATATTAATAGCTAAATTGATTTATAAAATAATATTTTGAATCAAAAAATAAATTAAAATAATATTCTTTTGAAATAATTATATAAAATATAATCTACAAAATCATTTGCTGATTGTAATAAACCTATAAATAATATAGATTTTGAAGAACACTTTATTGAAAGTGGGGAAGATGATGATGAAGAAGATGAAAAAAATCATAAAAATATTATTTTAGAAAAAGAAAATATTTAATAAGATAATTAAAAAAAATAACTAGAAAACTAATATGAATAAAATAATAAAAAAGAGGAACAAATTGAACAATCTTAATAATAAATCACAAATGCTTCTTCTTTAGATTAATTATCTTTAAATTAAAAAATTAGTAATTAAAATATATAATAAATAGAAAAGAATCAAGAAATTAGAGATAGCATATAAGTAGTAAAAACTAAATTATCAAAAGTTTATTCAATAAACGAAAGCCAAAAAAAAAGCATTTATTAATCCGAAATACAAAAAGAGTTTAATAACTAATAAACTGTAAATAAATAATCAATAATATAAAATAATGATATAAATTAAAATTAAAAGACAAATGAAAAAAAATGTTTATGTGTTTTAATATGAAAAAAAATATAAATAAATATATTTAAAATATATATAACATTTATTATTTTTTAAAAATTAAATACATATTATTATATATTTTTTTTTCTCTTTCTTAAATATATATTAAAAAAAATCCATAATAAAAAAAATGTCTACATTATACTATGAACCAGATATTTTAGAAAGAATGGACGCTATAAATTAAATAAACGATTATCGCAAAATATATATATCCGAATTTCTCCAAATTCTATAAGATCGTGCTAAGCTTGAGCTTTTTTATTCCAGATCATTAGAAAGATTAACCACCTAATTAAACCAACTACCTATAATTTAAGCAAATAATCCAACAAGTAATTTAATAAGTGCAATAAAAACTATTTTTATGTCCCAGAGCGAACAAAGTAAGTAATTCGCAAATTGTATTTCAACTGAAATAATATCCTAATTTCCAAAATAATAAACCACATACAATATAAATAACATTGCAGTTCGCCACGAATAAGAGCTTCCAAAAAATATTCAAACATTTGATAAATTAAGGAAATAATATTAAAATATGACCTAAGCATTGAATAAAAAAGCTCAGTAAATGTCATGTAATAGCCTCAATCTGTAATAAATGTCTAAAAATAAAAATTTATAGCCCCAAGAGTTACATAAAGCATAAAAAGAACACTAAAATGAATTATTAATACTAGAATGCATGAATAGATAATGCTAAAATGCAGAAAAAGAATTATAAAATTTCATTTAAAAATACAATAATTATATTGACCAATATTTCTTAGACGTTGCAAAAGTGGAAGAAGAAATAATTGTCTAAGAGAAAAACTAAAGGTAAAATTTGCACGATTTGATAATGAAATTTCTTGTTTTTATGATTTCATAAGTAAGAAATTTGTAATATGATGTTGATAGAATTACAAATAAAGTGCAAGATATAGACATAAATTTTGGCTTAAATGCTTTTTTGAGTGAAAACCTATAGAATTCGAAATAAAAAGGATTAAATTTGCCACACAAACCTTTACTCTCGAAACTTAATTTCGATAATTTTAAAATCTCATTTAACGTTCAGGAAAATCTTAAACCTGAATTGATTATTAAAAAAAACGGGATTGAAAATTATCCTTATTCCAATAAAATCTTAGATAATAATTCAAATTTATAATTAAAATAAGTAGCTATTTAATAGTAAACATCATTATAAAATTCTGATTTTTATTAAAGTCAAAATTAATAAAAAACTTAATAAAATAATAAATAATAGCAATAATAATAATAATTAATTTAATATATAAAATAAGATACTATATAAAAGCAAATTGAATTTTAAAATAAAAACGCTACAAATAAGTCATTTTCAGAAGAATATTTTGAATATATATTTAATAAAATATGGTTTAATAATGAAATATTATTTTAAGAAACAAATGAAATAAAAAGGCTTTTAACTGAAAAAGAATCTGATAGAAAAATTTTCGTAATTGTTTATAAGAAATTCTTTTAAGAAAAATAAAATGAATTTTTAAAAAAGAATATTTTTTCTAATAAAAATTTGGCAGTTTAGATTTAATTAAATTCTGATGGTTATACATCTTTTATGAAGGTTCTTTATACTTCTTTATATATTTTTGATTAGTTTTGTTGTTTTAGATATATTTCTTCTATTTTAGATGTTAATAAATTTCTTTTTAAAGTAATAAAACCTCCTGATGATCAAATAGAAGTACTTTAGAGAATATATTTGAATCAAGGCTTATTCGAGCACCCTTTTTTTAATAAAAACTAGGAAGAATTATAAAAAATAATAAAGAAAACAATAATTAAAATATCCAAAGAATATAATAATAAAATTGCAGAAAATGCAATACTAGATTAAGTAAAAGAAGAAGAAAACATTTCCGAACAAGAATACGTTTTTGCTAATTTGAAAGAAGTTTTAACACAATTTATTAAGTTTAAAATTTAAAAATAAACTTTAAATAATATCCTAAATGATTAAAGTATTGAGTTAGAAGTTGTTCTGTAAAACAAGTATATGCAAAAATTAAAAACTTTTCTTTAAGAATCTTAGCTTGATGATGATCTTAGTATTATTATTTTAGAAAAAAATATTTCTGAAGAAGAAAAGAAAAGTGAATTAAAAGATGAAAATTATTATGATGAAGAAGAGAAATAAAATGTCGAAAAATATGCTAAATATTTTTAATGAAAAAATAAAAAAAATATTATACAAATATATATTTTATAATTAATAAAACTATATTTTAAAAATTTAATATTCAAAAAAAAAAAAAAATTCAAATGAATTATATAGTTGAAAACAATGAAGATTTTGAAGATGATATAGAAATTTATCAATAATATTTATAAAAAATAGATTAAGCATTAATAGAAAGCAGTTAATATACCTAAAATATAATTAATGATGAAAATTATTAAAAATATACTAATATTAATTAATAACAAATTTAAAATTTTAATTAGAATAATTTGTAAACAATTTAAGAAGAAAATTTGTCAAACGAAGACGATATCAGTTAAGGTAAAAAGTCTGAAAGAAATTATTCTTAGAATGATTAGATCATATTGCAGTACGATTAAATCATTATAAATTAAGATTAAATATTTTAGGAAAATACTAATAATAAATAGGTTGTTAAAATAAACTTAAAATAATAAGCAGTTATTAATGATAAATACATTTAATTAAATAAACTTTAAGCAGAAAAGCTTAAAGTTGAAAGAGAAAAATATTCAAAAAGTTTGAGAGAAAGCGCAAACAAAAAAGAGTAAAAAAAAGTAAAAATTAATTTTTCTACTAATGGACATTTTAATTTTTAATATGAAAATTTCCATGATGAAAATGAATCTTATTTAAAAATATATATGCAAAAAAAGAAAATTAAAAATAATCAATAAATAAATAATAAAAATAAGTAAAAAACTATAAAATAAGACAAGTATAGTTTTTAATTATATTTTATGATTATTTTTACTTTTTTTCAAAAAAAAATAGAATAGCTGAAAATAATTAAATGTGTTAACTAAATGCAAAATATTAATAAAAAATACAGCATTATCATTCTAAATTTTAACAACATTCTTAAAAAAATTAATTTAACTCTTCTTATTTTTCTCCTTCTAAAATATAAAATATGTAATATATTTATATATATATGAAATTTATTTTAATTTTAATAAAGAGACAATTAGTAAAATGAAAAAAAATTGTTTGATTTTTCAAAAGTAATATATTAAAAAATAATTAAAAATAATAATTTTAAATAGAATAATTTAAAAGAATTTCTTTCTTACAATAATTTAAAAACTCTTCAATTTTGAAATTTTGTATGAGAAAACATAAAAAAATAATATTGTTAATTATTAATCAAAAAAAAAAAATATTAAACTATATATATAAAAAAAATCATTTATAATATTAAAAATTATCTAATAAAATAAGGTAAAAGATAATCTATATTATATTCCTGTATAAATAAAAAATATAAATAAATATATATTATTATAAATAAATAAATAATTAATACTTAATAAGAAATAGCATTTATAATAAATGTGTGTTGGAATAGCATTAGAAGCAGCCTGCTGTGCTGGTAAAGAATTCTGTAGTGTAATATGCACGTTTTTCAAATGTTGTTGCAAAATGACAATGTCTCAATAAATAAGATTATCTTATGTTATTTTAAACTCGTTATTATTCGCATTTACAATAATAGTTCTTCATTATATTCGAGATTTATTTAGTTATTTTGCTCGTTATTTGCATTGTCCAGAAGCTTCAGGAGGTCAAAGCTAATGCTTAGGTTCAAGTTCTGTATATAGAATGAGTTTTGCATTAGCAATATTATATTTGGCAGTTTTAATTGCAGTTTACGCAAGAAACTAATGTAGTAAATTATTTAATGAAGGACTTTGGTGCATAAAAATAAGTGCAGTTTTAGGAATGTATATTTCTTTTATGTTTGTTTCAGATTCTTTTTTTAATGGATATAGAGTTTTTGCTTAAGTTTTTGGAGGTTTTTATTTACTTTTTCAAACGATAATTCTTATTGATATTTTTTACCTTTGGGGATAAAATTGGAAAGCTAAATATGACGAAGTGGAAGCTTAAAATGCAGAAAATAACTCTTCATTTAACCTTTATGGAATTCTTTTGATTGGAATAACTCTTTCCTTATATACAGCCTCGATTTTATTAAATGCTTATAATTTTATTTGGTTTAAAGGATGCTAATTTAATATTATCGTTAATGCTTTAAATTTACTGCTTGTTATTAGTATCACCTTTGTATAATTTTTAGGGTTTAATCCTTCAGGTTCTTTACTTACCAGTTCTGCAATGTCATTCTATATCACTTTCTTGGCTTTTAGTGGGTAACTTTCATCTGAAAGTGGATGTAATTCAGCAATTTCAAGTAATGCCATTTTTGCAATCGAACTTTCTGTAGGAGTCGCTTTTTTGTTGGTGACTTTACTCTATCTTAGTTTTGTTAAAAAAAATAGTAAGTTTAATATTTAGATTAATGAAGAGTAAAATATTGAAAACTAAGTTATTTTTTTTTTAAGTAAATAATATTTAAAATTAATAAAATAAAAAGGAAGATTTGGAAAAAGAATAAGCATCATTAGTATAAAATTAATAATAACTAAATCAATAATAAGATGAATTAGAAATATATAAAAATACAAATAATTATATAATTTTTCATATGGTAATGTTTGTTTCTTCCATTTATTGTGCTATGCTTATTACTAATTGGGGAGGCTCGAGTCTAAATAATTTCACTATTTATCAACCTTCCTAAACTTCTTATTGGATTAAAATTATTTGTTCTTGGATTTCTTCTATTCTTTATATTTGGACATTAATTGCGCCTCGTGTTTTTCCAAACAGAGATTTTTCATGAAAAAAATAAAATAATAATTAAATATTTTTAATTTTTTTTAAAAGTATAGAGTATGTATTTTTATATATTTTTATTAATATATCATATATTAAGATTTAATATTTTATTTCTTATTTAAATGTAATATTATTTATTTATTTAAATCTATTTTCCATCAACTATTTAATCAATATTGGATTTTTCTGCGAAAACACCGAAATTATTAAAATTTTCTGTAATTAATTAGTTTATTTAGAAAAAGCTTACAAGCTAATCTAATAAAGCAACTTCTTATTCCAAATCAATACTCAAATTTTAACTTTAAAAACTAGTATGCATCTTCATTTTAATCAAATGATTGATTTCTCTAATAACATTTCTCAAATACTTTCCTTATTAAATATACAAATCTTCTAAATCTGCAAAATTATTATCAAAAATTTAATTTTCTCCTAAAAAATCTTAATATTTATCTTTCCATGCAACAAAACTATCTTAATATTTTTACTTGTATTCTAAAATTATATTTTTTATTTTTCCAAAATTATCTGAATTTTAATAAGACATCCAATTTTTTAAATTTAAAAAATTTACCTAATTCTCACACATGTTTGCCAGTTTTTTTATTTTCACAACTGAATTTTTAAAAAGAAGGTAAGCCATTTTTTCTTTCAAAAGTGGACTTTCAATAATATTTGAATTTTCCAAATTTTAAGCCAATTTATAAGCAAATCTACAAAAGTTAATTTAAGCTAAAACAAGTGCTTCATTATTTACGTTTAATCCGGTATTTTATTAATATATTTCATTATTTTTTTCTTTCAATATGTTTTCTTATGTATTATTTCCAAGCATAACACTATTACTTCTTTACACTTCTTCACAATTATGTAAATTTTATTCATCAAACCCATTCTAAAACGACTTAGATTATCCACTTCTAATAGGAGCTTTTTGTAAAAAAAGAGGATGATATTTTATTTCTTCGATTCCGATTCTTTATTTTTCATCGATTTATAAACATTTTATAATAAAGTCTTTTGATTCATTTGAAATTTACATATAATCTGGAAATTCAAAAGGTTAATTTAAAATTTTATACTATAATTCCTATTCATTTTCAGCATTCCAAGGAGGAATTCCGTATAAAAGCTCAAAATATAAAATGGCAATAGACCAAATATCACTTTTAGCAGAATATTCATTCCTAGTAAGGCTTTCAGGGCACATATAAATAGGTGTACCAACTGTATAATAATATTTATAAGGAGGGTCATCAGTAAATTTTGCAAATCCAAAATCAGCAATTTTAAAAACTCCATCTTTAATAAGTATGTTTGCAGGTTTAATATCTCTATGTATAATATTATTTTTAACCAAATCTTTATATCCATTTATAATATGAGTTAATATCTTTAAAGCTTATTCTTCTTTTAAATGTTTGTAATAGTATAAAAGATCTTTTAAATCTCCTTAATTACAAAATTCAGTTATTATATATGTATTGTTGTTTGTTTAAAATATATCATGTAACTTCAAAATATTAGGATTGTTTATTTTCTATAACTTACGGAGAACTTACGTTTCTCTATTTAGTAAATATTTATGGACTTCATTTGTCATTAATTTTAAGTCTATTACTTTTATTGCTGAAAATTCATTAATGTTTTCTTATTTGCCTTTAAATACTTAAGAACTATATCCTTAACCGATTAAATCACTTAGTAAATATGAATAGTTTTCTATATGCTTTCGTTACATTAATAAAGGATGATGTTTTTGTACTATTTTTTGTTAAGTATTTAAATTGTGATAGGTCTTTTTTAAATATATTTTAATTTTAATTTTTGCTTTTATTTTTATTTTATTTAAACTTGTAAATTATGAACAGAATACTGAGGATGTGGGTTATATTAGTGCATTTTTATTTTTTACATTTTTTTTAACTATTATAATTTGTTATTTAATAAAATAAAAATAAAAATTTAGTAAAAAACAATGTTTTGGTTTTATTTTTTATTTATTTTATTAACTTATAAATATAATTAGTTATTAAATAAAATTTAATGTATTAAAAAAATATTATAAATAAGCATGCAGCATGCATGCTTATTTATAATTATTTTTATGTAAAATTAATTATTGAATTATCTCTCCTTAATTTTTTATAAATAATAATTGTTTTGTTATTAAGATTAATAAATTAAGTAAAGTATTAATAAAAATTTTTATATCTATATAATATAATTATTATATTTGATAATAATTGTTAATTATTCTTTTGATATATAGAATTATTATAATACTTATCAAAATAATTTTATAAAAAGTTTAGTAAATTAGAATTAACTATTTTTGTTAAAATAAATAAAAATAATAGTTTTTAAAAATATATAAAAATTCAAAATTTTTATATAAAAATTATAGTTAATTTATCCTCTCCTGTTATAAAAAAATAGAGTAGAAAAATCTTTTTAAAAAAATTCTCAAGAAATAATATAAAATCTGTCTAAATCTTAAAATTGAGAACTAATATCATCAAAAATGTCACACATATTTAAATCAACCCTTTCACTTTATTATTTATAATATTTTTAGTCTCTAGAAGTCCAAGCATAATTAGCTTGCTTGATGAGTTATTTTTTATAATATAGGTTTTATTTACACTAATGATAAATTTTACTCAAATATTCTTATTCGACTTCTTATTCAACCTTTGGAAGAAAATTAAAATCATTTCCAATTTATTTTTAGAAATTTTCTTCAACAAAATATTAAATTTTCAATAATTAAGTTTCTCGTAAAACATTATAATTACGATCACTTTACAAGGAAAAGAGAGGGCTTTATGTGAAAATACTTTAAATAACACCTGAAAAAATAATAATAAATAGAGGAATCATTTAAAATATTCCTCCTAATTTATTTTACTTTTACTATTATTATTATTAATTATTTTGTTATTATCCTCTTCTTTATTACTACCTATTATACATATAAGTTCTTTAAAATTTCATTGACCCACCTCCAAAAATAAAATTAAATATGTCTTCTGCATCCACATAATCATCATTATATTATTATTAATAATGCTTATAATGCTGTTCGGGTTCTTCGCTTCCTGTTTAATCATAAAATGCCCTTTTTTCTGTATTTGTAAGACAATCATAAGCTTAAGCTATTTTTTTAAAAACTTCTTATGCCCCAGGAAGTTTTAATTTATCTGGATGGTATTTTAAAGCTAATTTTTTATATGCTTTCTTTATGTCATCTTCCGAAGCATTTTTCTCTACACCTAAGATTTCATAAAAATCCTTTATTTATAACATCCTTTTTACATCTTCTTAACTTATTAATATTCGTTTTTGCGGATCACTCATATTTTTAATATATATTTATAAATATTATTTTGTTAAATTATTAATTTAAATTAAAAAATTTTATATGCATGTAATAATAATTATTTTAGTTTTAAGCTCTTATAAATATTTAAATATTAAATAATATTTTAAAAATAAGTAGTTTTATATGTATGTCTTTAAAAAATTTAAATAATTTTATATTTTGTTCTTTATAAAATCTTTGTAATATAATGCAAAACTAGCTTTTCATAAATATTTTTAAATTAATAATAATCAATATTATTTTATTTTAAATACCATTTATAGATATTTTAGTATATAATTGCTTCATATTTGTATATTTTATGCTTGAAATAAAATAAAATATTATAAAAAATAATTTTTGTAAATTTATATATGAAGAGTTTCGAAAAGTTATATTTCATTAAAACACATATAAACTAAAATTCAAATATAAATGTATTTATTTTTGATTATGATTATACATTAAATGTTTATTTGATAAAAAAAAAACTATACATTACAATATATATTTATACATAGTTATTTATTTATTACTCTCTCTCATATAACTTAAATTTTAAAAATTTTTAGATTATGAAATATATTATTAAATTCCTTAAAAAAACTGAAGATATCTCCCCCTCCCTTATTTTATATATTATAATAATCATAAAATATAATTTTATATTAAGGTAAATCTATATACATAATAAAATATTAATTTATATATTTAATTTATCTAATAATCATATTATAAAAATATTGAAAATAGTTATCTTTTATAATATAAAAATATTTTTTTTGATAAAAAAAAATATAATAAAAGATACCCCGCGGTATATTAATTGACTATTATATTTTAAAATTAAAATATTTTTTTGTATTAGTAAATAATTCTTAAAAAATATTTTTACATATTAATATCAATTTTAATCATATATAATTTTTATTTTAAATCTTTTACAATATAATTTGAAATATATTAATTTATTTTTACATAACTTACTCTATATTTTTTTTTATGTAATTTTATTTAAAAAACTTAATCAAAATAAAAATCTTTGATTTATTTTTTCACATTTTTTTTGTTTTTGTTTGTTAAAGTTTTAAAATAAAAAATAATAAAAAAAAAATCAAGTATATATATATATATTTAAATAAAATAAATAAAATCAAAATATTTTAAAAGTCAATTAATACTAGAAAAACTTTAAATATTTTGATTATGATCTTCATCTTATTATTATTTTTCTTATTATAATTATTATACTTCTATCTATTAAGAAATGCTTTTTCCCATTTTATCCAAATTAAATCCCTCAATATCAAAATTATTAACAGACTAAAAGCTTAAATCATATTTAGGTGAGTTAGTGATAATTGGATATTCTAAATACAAATTATTAGTCGCATTATCTTTATCTTATTATTTATATAAAGGACTAAACATAATATAATTTTAGTAATTGCTATTATTTATAAAGCTATTATTATTTATACCTTAATTAGTAATATTTTCATATATTGCGTCATTATTATTAATATTTTAATGCAATTCTTCTTTACTATTTTTAAAATAAGACATAAAGTCATTGCTTTTATCTAATGTTTATAATTAATTAAGAGATTTTATTTTTAATTCTTAAGATGAATTTAAATTTTAAATCTGCATATTATTGTTTTTTTATTCGACATAACTATTGTCAGCACAAATTCTTTTTAAATTTGTATTTTCAAATTATTAAAGGCTTTACTTTTCTCCATTATTTAATTGAATATAATTTCCTTTTTTCTAAATATACCCTTAAATTATTTATTCTAATAATATTTTATTTGTAGGATCATTGTCATCTAATATTTATTGTATCAATTTCTGTACTGAATTTAAATCTTGCTTCTTCTTATTTAATGTTAATGAAACTATTCCTGCATTATTATGTGTGTTATTATTATTGCTAATCTTTTATGTTTAATATTAAAATTAGGATAAGTAATTAATAATTATTTTATACATTAATGGCTTATATATCTTAATTTATAATTTTTCTTTATTAATTATTTTCTTAAAATATTAGTTTATCTATATTTTTTAAAATTCCTTATTTACTCTGTTCTTAAAATAAATTATTATTATCAATTTCATCGAAAATTTCTTTATTTTTAAATATTATTTAAATAAAATTTAAAATAATTTTATTTTTAAAAAATTACATAAATTTTTCTTATTTTAATTATAATAATTCAATTGCATATTCTAATTATTATTAAATTGATTATTTACACTTTAATGATTAAATTATTTTGAGAAAAACATTAACAACATAAACAATCTTTCCGCTCTCTTTTCGTCAATTTCACTATAAAATAATAAACTATTATAATTAAACCAAAAAACAATATAATTTACTTTTATTTCCTTATTTCATCCCATAAAATTTTATTTTCTTTCAATAACTATTCATGTTATTAAATAAGCATTTGTATTGCAACGTCTAAATCATGTTATTTATTTTTAAAATTAAGAATTTCATTTAAAAAATTATTATAATCTTATTTAAATGATCCTTAAAAATCTTATTAATCAGTAAATAAGTTTAAATGATCATCTTAACCTAAAAATTATTTTGTAATACTATTATTTTCCTTATTATTAAAATGTATTAAATCATCATTAAAATTATTGCTATTATCATTATTTTTTCTTTTTATTTCTGAAAGTAAATACCTTTTATTTTTTAAAAAAAAATTATACATAAAATACTATTAAATATTTAAATTTACTTATTTCCCTTTTGAAATAATAGATTTTTATATTCAGTATCGCCTCTTTCATTTCTTACTTTATGAAAATCATACATATTTAACTTTTTATAATAATAAATTAATTATTATATTTGAATAAATCTACTTATCGCACAAAAGAAGCATAATTATTGTGTTTAAAATATTATGGCAATAATTAGTCACGAAACGTATTTAGTTTTTTTATCAAAAATGATTTTCCATCTTCACTCCAACAAACTATATTATGATAATCTTCATTCTTTTATAAAAAAATTATTAATTAATAAAAAGTAAAATAAAAAAAAATACTTCTAACATTTCATATGTTTTAAGTAAAAAAGTGGGAATTGAACTTCTAGTTCTGCTTTATATATGCTTTTTATGGGATTATTTTAAGAAATAGGGAGTAAATTATATCATAAAAGGGTAATCTTTATAATAATGAAAAAAAAAAAAAAATTATTTTTATTATTAATTTTTATAAAAAATTTTCTAATTCTTGATATTTAATAAAGCTGTAAAAAATAAAAATAAATATAATATAATAAATACAAAAATAAAGATGTTAAGACAAAAAAAAAATATATAATAAAAAGTTTAAATATTTAATTAAAAAAAATGAAATATATTGATAATAAGAATAAAAAAAATTATTAATTAAAATAGAAATTAATTAAAAATTTATTATATTAAAAAAAAATTATTATAATAATAGAAATAATAATATTAAAAAAAAAAATTATATAAGAAAAAAAAAAAATTTAATATATATATATATATATATATATATATATATATATATAATTAAAAAATATAAAAATTAATATATTAAATTATAAAATAATTATAATAATAAAAATAAAATACAAAATAATAATAAAATAATAATAATAATAATAATAATAATAATTATAATACTAATAATTATAATAATAATAATAATAATAATAATAATTATATTATAAATAAATATAAAAAAAATATAATATATATAATAATAAATTAATTATAAAAATTATATAATAATAAAACATTAATATAAATATTAAATTTTTTTTAATAATCTTAATTTATATTTATAATAATTTTTTTATTTATATTTTTTAAATTATATTTATATCTATAAAATCTTAATTTAATTATTATAATATATTAATTTTTATAATCTTTTTTCTTATAAATAATTTAATCATATTAATTTATTAATAATATATTAGAAAAAATATACATTATATATATAAAAATTATTTAATTAAATATCTTTTTAATTTCAATAAATATTAAATAAAAATTTTATGAAAGATAATAAATATTAAATAAATTTTTTTGAAAGATAATAAATATTTTTATTATTTATTATATCTAAAAAATAAAAATTATATTTTTTTTTAATCTAAAGAAAAAAAAAAATGATAAATTCATTAAATTTAACTACAAAATTAGGCTTATTTATAAAAATTCAATTTTAATTTGCTAAGTTTCCAGCATCTAAGTAAATACTAGCTGATAAAAAATTAGGATTTACACGTTTTATGCCAAATGAATCGTTTAAGGATGATTTGTATTTTCCTTTAGAAAACTTAATACATTTATAAGCTTTTGAAGATGTAAAAATATATAAAATTTTAATAAGTCAATAATCCATTAAAAAAGTTAATAAATCATATAAAATAAAATCCTAATTTAACAATAGAAGCTCGTCCTTTATGTACTTTATTATATAGAATTGCAGAGCAAGGTAGGAATGAACCAAAAGTATTTGAAGAACTAGAAAAACACTTATATAAATATAAAGAAAATATTTCATACAGATGCGCTTTTGGTGGCTTATATGCAAGTTATAAATCTAATTATGCAAGTCCATATATGATTTAATTTTTTGAAGATGAATTTATAAGGACTAAAGAAGAAGCGAGTAAAAAAAATATAAAAAAATAATAAAAATATGTTTTAAAAAGATGCTTTTGAGGCTGTTTAATTACTTAAAGCTTTTAGTTTTAATAATACTAAATCTCATAATTACAAAGAATAATTTTTCCTTTAATATTTAAAACCTATAATCGTAAATAATTTTAAATAAGTGAAGAATTTTAACTTTAATTTATTCGATTTATTTACAGGTAATAAAATTATTTCTTTTAAATATAATTAAAAAAAACAGGTTTATTCGATAATAAAATATTTGACGAAGAAATATGGGAATAAGTTTTAAAAGTAATTCCTTATAGGAAAGGACAAACTTAATTAGAAAGAGTAACAACTGTATACGAGATTTTATAAAATATATAAGAAAACAAATTATTAAAGTAAGATGTATCTAAATATTTAGGTTTTGTTAGATATAAACTAAAAAACAAACCAGATTTTAAATGGATTTATAATTTAAAAGAATAAAGAATCTATACTTATGATGAAATGATAGAAAAAAGAGAACATTACCAGTATAAAAATTAAGCTTAACATAAATATAGAAAGAGCAATAAAGAATATGTTGAAAGATATGAACTTTCAAAATCAGATAAAAAAAAATTTCTTGCTGAAGAAGCAGATTAAGAAAAATAAGTTCAATTAGAAACACTTGTTTACGAAATGTTTGAAAAAAAAAATCAAGGAGAACTTAAAGATGATGATGATTTCAAAACAATAACAGGAAAATATGATGACATTATTAAAGAATTATAACAGTTAGAAAAATAAAAAAAAACTGAACAAAAAAATGAAGAGGATGAAGAAGATAAAGGAGAGGTAGAAGAAGAAGAAGAATAAGAATAGGAAAATTAAGAATATTCAGAAGACATAAGTTTATCAAGGAAAAAATGAAACAATTATAATTAACCAAAAAAAATACTTTCTATTTTTTTATTAATAATAATTATATTTAATTATGTATTTTATATGTAAAATTAAAGTTTATTTAAAAATATAATTAAAAAATAATATAATTTAATTTATTTTTTATCTAAAATATAATAAAATAAAATAAAATAATATAAAAAAAAGATGAATATAAAATAAAGTATATATATAAATATATATATATATATATATATATATATAATTATATATATATATTAAATATATTTTTTTTAAATATTTATACAAATAATTATTATTTTTTAAAAATTTCATTTATATAATTTTATGTTTATTATTATTTAAAAATTTAACATTTAATATTTAAAACCTATTTATAACTAATGTATTATTTATTTTTAATTATAAATATAATATAAGTAAATATTTTAATTCCTATAATTTTTAGTTTAAAATTATTGTATCAGGCATATTATTTTATTTTTAATAATACTAAATTATTTATTAATTACTTGTTATTTTTGAATATTAAATATTTTGTTTTGTTTACTTTTTTATATATATTTTTTGATATTTTATTTATTTTTAAATATTTTTTATTATAAAATAATAAATTTATTTTTTATTAAAATATTATACTTTTATTGATATAAATTATTTTTGTTATTTAAAAGTTCTAAATATTTTATTTTAGATACCAATTTCATATTAAAAGTTAATTTTATATATGATTTAATATTTTTCATAAAAAAATTTAATTTAATACAATTCTTCTTTAAATGTTTTATATTAAGTATTTATTTTACTATTTTTTTTTTAACAAATTCATAATAAATATTATATATAGAATTACACATCTAATTAATTTTTAATATATTTTTATGTTAAATTAATATTATATTTTATTATAAATTAAAAATATTATTTTTTTAATTTAATTTTTAATCTATAATTTTATAAACAAAAATTAATTATTTTTAATAATTGTTAAAAACATTTTAGATTATAAAAATATTATTAAATAAAAAATTTATTATTTAAAAAAATATAAATTTATATATTCAACAGTTGCAATTTTTTTATCTTTTTTAAATGCTTTCTGTTTAGTCTTATAATTTTTATCCTTTAAATTATTATTTTTTAAATATGTCTATGTTTTATTATTGTATTTTTTCAATTAATTATTAAAATAAATCCTTTTTTTAAATTAAAAATTTTAAAGAATTTTTTTTTACATTTATTCCTTAATTTTCTTTTGCACTTGTATATCTATTAATAGCATCTATATCCTTTTTAAAAAATAGAATATAATAAAAATAATTAGCTTAACTAAAATTTATTTAAAAATAAATAAATAAACTCTTGCAATTCTTTAAACTTCATCAAAATCAACTTATTATTATTCAATCAAATCGATCTTGTTTCCAACAATAGAAAGGACTTTGAAATATATACAAATGAAATAAAGAATTACTAAATAATATTTACAAAAAATTAATATAAAATACTTATATTATCAGGTCCTTTCGTTTAAAGCTCTTTTATCCAAATTTTTAAAGATTCAAAAGATTATTAATTAGTTATATCATACACAATAATTCCAACTTTTGAATCTAAATATTAAGTTAAATAATTATTCTTAATATTAATTTAAAAATATAAAACCTCTATAATATAAAGGGGCAAGTGACTTATACTTTTCTTGTCCAGCAGTATCCCATATCTAAATTTATACTTAAATATTATGTTTCTAATTTTATTTTTTTTATTTTTTATAACTTAAAATTTATATGATTTGCCATCTTTCTAAATTGTTTTATGTTTAAAAGATGCTCCTAAAGTACTTTAAGAATTATCTGAATAATAATCTTATACAAACCTCAATATAATACTACTTTTTCCAACACCTTTTATCATTTTTTTATAATATCAAATAAATATTAATTTTAAATTTTTAGTATAAATTTTTAAAACCTGAATCACCTAATATAACTACTTTGATTTCATCGGCATGCATTTTATAATTAATTTTATAATTATACTTAATATATATATATAAATATATATATATATATACATATATATATATTTATATATTATTAAATTAAAAACTAATTTATAAATAATATATTTTTTTTTATTTAAATATATTAAATATTATTTTTAATTAAATAAAATAAAAAATATTAAAAATAAGATATAATAAATAATATAAATTTATATTTAAGAATTTACGAAGCTATTAAATAAATCGAATTCCAATTTTTTTAGATTTCAATCAAGAATAAAAAATTTTAATAAAATATATATTTGAATTAAATCATTTATATATATATACCTGATTTAATTATGTATTTTTAATAGAATTAGGTACTTAACTTTTAATAATTTTTTCATTATTTTTATAAAAGCTCGATTGAAAATAATAAAAAATTCAAAGAAATGAGTTTTTAAATAAATATAACATAAAAAATATAATAATCTAAAACAATAAATTATAATAAATTTCTAAAAAAAAATAAAAGATTAAATTTTGTATAATATAAAGTTTAATAATACAGAATTAGCGGTAGAATGTTTAAAAAATAAAATATCAATATGCAGAATATAGAAAATTGCAAAAAGTATTTGTGACTTTAATTTTACAATCGATATGTTAAATAGTTTAGGCGACTAATAAACTCATAAATAGCTGAAAAGTTAATAATTATTAGCTTTGTAATAAATGATTTAAAAAATAAAAAAAGAGTTTTTTAAATATTAAAAAATCGATTAATACGATAATATAAAGAAAGTTATTATTTTAATTAGAAAAAGTCTAAAACATATTAAAATTGTAGTGAAAACTGAAAAAAATATAATAATAACGATTATATTTTATATTTTCGTTTATTTAGATATAAATAAAATTGTTTAGAATTAAGTATTTCTAATTATCAACAATATTTTTATTTTATCATTAAAAATAAATTATAAATTAAAATTAGAATCTATACATTGAATATTTTAAAAATAATAAAAAACTTTATTTTATTATATATTTTATTTTAAAATGTTTACTTTTTGTATTAAAATTTGTTATTTTCATATTTGTCTTTATGTAGATTTAATAAAGTTTTGATCTATTTGCTTATATTTTTGATTTAATTAAATATAATAATTTTTATTCTAATTTATTAAAATATAATTTTTCTTTATTAATTATAATTAAATTTACAATTATAATTTAAGATATCACTATTAAAATACTTTAATATTTTACATATATTTTAAATTTGATTTTAATTTAAAATGTTTTCATTTGATTATTATTTACTTCATTCATCTTCCTATTTATATGAACTGTATCAGACCTTAAAGTATTATAAATTTATTCTTTATTAATAAATCTTTTATATTTTTTATATTATTAAGTATAAATGTTTTAATTATTTTCTTCAAAATATAAATAAATTGATTTTAAAATAATATTTATTCTCTCATAAAATTACTTTTTTAACTTTGAAACTGCAAAAATTTAATTTTTAAATAAATTAATATATTTAAGATTAAAAACATGAATAACTCGTTATTTTAATATAATTTACGTAATTTAAATGCTATAAAAAATTTATTTTAATAATTTTTATTTATTAATATTTTATCATTAATAATTAAATTTAAAACATTAATTTATTATTTATATAAAAAAATTAATTTATAAAATATAAAAAATATTATAACAATATCTTTTTATGTATAAAAAGAAAAAATAAATATAAAAATTAGAAATACAATTGCAAATACAAGATATAAATTAATGAGATTAAATAATTAAAATCGATTAATTATAATTTTTAATTTATTATTTTATTTTTAAAGGAAAAGTTTATTATACTTAATTTTTTAAAATCTTTGATATATTAATTATTGTAAGATCTTAAAAATAAAACAATAATATTAAAAAATTAAACTGTTATTTATAAACATTATAACAAACTCTTAATTATATTTTTATAAAATTATTATAATTAGTTAAATTTTATAATTTTAACTGTTTTATAATTTTAAATTAAAATAATAATTATAAATATAGTACATATAGATTGTTATTTAATTACTTATCAAATATATTTATATCTAATTCATTACTCTTTTACATAATTTCCTTTTTTTAATGCATTAAATTCTTAATTAAAATTAGAGAATATTCACAAGAAATTTATAATAATTTTCTTATGCTAATAATTCAAGAATTTAAAATTCTATTAAAGTAAAAAAATATAAAGATTTTTTAATTAATACAATTTATTATTTTAAAAGAAAAAAATAAAATAATTAGTCTTTAAATAGAGATTTTTAATAAAAACGATATTTTTTTAAAAAAAATGTAGTATATATTTTAATAATCACAAAATTTATTGAAATATTATTAAAAAAAAAAAAATTATTACAAAAAATTATCTTTTTAGTTTATGTTTATTTTTAAAAGAAAATAATTTTACTTTAGAAAACAACTATATTTATTTAGCCAAAATATGAAAAAAAATTGGTACTAAATAATTGGAACAAGCCCAAACTCATCAAAAGAAGAAATTAAATAATAATATTATAAATTAGTAAAATAATATCATCCTGATATAAATAAAAATAAAGATGATTAGGAAAAATTAAAGTTGATAAATGAAGCATATTTTTAGCTTAGATAAAATAAATAATAATAATAATAAACTAAAAACAATTAAAATAAAAATTAATATTATAACGATTATTAAGAATAAAACTATTAAGAATAATAAAGAAGTTTTAAAAATAATTATTATGATGAAGATATAAATAATAAATATAAAAAATAATTAATAATAATAATAATAATAATAATAATAATAATAATAA